GTGTTGCTATGTCGGGAATACCCCGACAAGCTTTCAGATTGTCGAAAAAACCTTTGTTTAAAAGTTATGCATAACATTTGAATATGTTATTAAATCGCTGCATTATTGTCATTCGTGAATGCTTTTTCAATAGCCATTGGTGCTAAACTGTCAATAAACAATCCACAGTGCACAAATAAGCTGTTGCCATGACGGGAAGCCTCGGGCTGGCTTTTTGTTCCTCAAAGTGCAATTTTTGTTTCTGAGGCATGCATTGAACTTAAGTTTACTGGAAGACAGCTTGTTATACTGGTCTTGTGTGCGCATAAAATGTGAATGCGTTTGTGAACATTCGCTCATTGGAAGCATTAAACATTTACCACCTCATTTGTGTATCAAGTTTTCATGAAATCTAAGATGGCATCATTTCTCCATCTACATATTATACTGTAAATGGAATTGAATTGACATTCTTCAAACTCCAACAAAATCAGTGGAACAACAAGTAGTTATAAAAAAATAGGTTTTAAGACAACAATGTAAGCAGGGATTTAGGCATACATTATGAATCGGGCACACACATGAGGATGTGTTACTCATAGCAAGGAGCAACGAGAATAGATCGCAGTTTGACAAAAAGACAATACAATCATGACCTATGGAAATGTGATTTCTTTATTCACGGTACTTGGTTAACAAATAATGAATTAAACATTGATTTCACACATCTAGTTCGTGTTTTACAAAAAGAAACGTGTATAAACTCACGCGACATGTTGAAGGGGTTGATTGATCAGATCACTCAAGTTGTGCGCAAACGAATAATCCACTTTAATTTCAACGAGTAAGTTCGGTTGGCGAAAACAAAGTAAATTACAACTCAGTATGTAAGTTATTCAAGCAGAACAAGATCATCGTGTCCACGTAGGCAGCATCAAAATCTGCATCCTTGGTGGTTGGGTGCTCCTAGAAATATCCATTTGATTTAGTGCTCATTTCGGCATCGTGCTTTGCATTCAATTCTGGTATCGGGTCACCTCGCAATCAAAACACTACTGCACAACTTTTCACCTCAGCAATTATTTATCACAGATCCAAGTTCACGAGTATAATTTTGGTGTTCATCAACATTGTGCGATCAAGTAAACAACTGTTTGAAATTATAAATGTAACAATCCAAACGGAGTGAACATCGACAGTGCTATAGTTGATGTTAAGTTGCCTAGCAGACGATATTATTTTGTTGGCGCCAAATTTACACGTTCACTTGTGACGCGATGAACGGGTATCTGCCGTTGAAATCCGCTGATGGCATGTACGTGCAGATAACACACACACACATACACTGATCGTTCATGTGATAACGTAACCCAAACTAACTACGTCATGGAGGTTTTGGCGCCGCTTTTAATATTACCCATTTTTTTTTACTCCTTCTCATGATCTCCCTCACACCACATTAATTTATATGAAGCAATTATAGTTTTAGAGAAGAGATTCACATAGTGAGTATTTATCACGGGAAGTAGGCATTCTATAATGTTGATATATAAGACTGGTATATAGCCCTGTGAACACAAGGATATTAAACGTGTTTATTGTTATTGTTGTGACATTCATTTTATTGAAGGTACACCTTTAGATACGATACAAGCATTTTGATATGTATTTTGAATTGTTCCAAAACTGTTGGAACAATACACTAAGAAGCATATTTCAAATTATTCTCATCGTATACAGCAAAAAAATTATAAAATGTATATAAGACCTTAATTGACTCAGCAAGATTAGATGGGGACAATGAGTAGCTCTTTGTAGCGTGGAGGTTATAGATATTAGGTTAATAAATGAAAAAGCTCCATTAAGGGAGTAATATTGAAAATGACAAAACCAGTGTCCATTAGGTGAAATCTAGCTGTTAGAATTCAATAAAGTAAACCCTTGATTTGATTTAGGTGCGGTGGCCAGGCCATACTGCAATTATCTCTCAATTTCAGCTTGGAGGTAATGAACAGTCTAATTTGCCAATGCCTCTGCAGCCATGTGTGTGTGTGCGTGTGTGCGCGCGCGTATGTGTGTTATGAGAAACTATTCCGCCACAGTCTCCGCAAACTGGAACGCATGGTTGGTGACTTGAAAGGGGGAAAGAGAACCTAGGGATGTTATGTTTATTTAATGAACTCATTGGGATATTTCATAAGTTTTAAGATTGAATCGCCTATTTGTTAAACAACAACACATTCTGGTCAACGAGTAAGGTCTTGGTGCGTAAAATAACCGTGATTGCATTTTCTCTCAATACTCTGGACAGGCAAATACGTTCTACCATTTAGATGCTTCACTAGAGATCAACTGATATTAATCTCTTTGAAATATGTCACTTTGAATAAACCAGAACAAAACTTTAAAATCTAATTTAGCTATGTTGGTGAAGCTCATTAAAATTGTTTTTAAACGTGGGTTTTTGTCCTGCGCATTCTCCTTATGTCTTCAAAGGCTTACTTAGACACAGTCAAATTTCAGTGCAGCGGTGAATCTTGTTAACAAACCACGATGATTCATTAGATTGCTGTGTCACGTTTCCTTCTATCCTTGCGGTAGAGATTCAATCAGGACCACATACATCTATAAAACATTTTGTTTCGATTCGCGGGGGAGCAATTGCATTTTGTTAAAACTCTATAAAATGATATAATCGTTGCGCTTCAACGTGATCGCAAAGACATTCAAGAAATTAACTAAATTAATTAAATTAGGTAATTTCAATCTATTTTGAAGCAATCTAACCCCAACCTTAATACAACGAATCATAGCAACAAACAAAGAATTCGTTTCTGACCATTAGAACCTTACCCCAAATAACGGTACATAGTAATTTCCGTTAAAATGATTTCTCTCAAGTTTTCTCACAAATGATTTGTCATAATTGATGCAGTACACAAGAAGGTAAATTATCTTCCAAAAGACCTTAAAAGAATTACCGATGGTCATTTTCTAAACATGTAATCTAATTTTAAGTAATGCATATATTAATGTACATATTACTTATTCAATCATTTTATATTGATTCTATGTATCTTTTTTTCTATTCTTTCCACATTTGTAATGATTATATACATATATTTGTAAAACAAAATATTCATGAAGTTTTCTAATAAATACCCCCCCAAAATACAAATACAATACCCTATACTATATAGCCTGCAGAAATCGTGGTTGGATTAGGTTATTGAAATTATCCTAGGTTGACTTCTTGAAAGTCTAAGCGATCATGTTTACCGCGAATCGAGATGATTTGAATGATGAATAAAAAAAAACAAGTGTCTCGTAAAAAGGGAAAAGTGGAGCAAGGTCTATTTTTAATTAAATGCTAGACTTTTAATAAATCTTTGGCTGATTTTGTGTCTCGAAGAGCCAAGGACATGTTACAGATGCATATGATTTGCTATTACTTCTTTCTTTTTATATATCTCTAATTTTCTCTATCTCTCCCTTTCTCCTCCTTGTATGGAGTATGGAGCAAAATACAATTAAATGAAATGTGTAACCACACATCATGTTTGACACTATTTGAATGAAATGTGAAGTAATTACTAAATTATTTCCCATCCGTCATTTTTCCATAAACAAGGTCAACGAAGCAGCTAGTTTACTGATTGACATCAAGGCATTATGTTAATTGATATACCACTATAGTGCTAATCATGTGTCCTTCTATTATGTCTATATCTCCTGAGTTATTATACATCAGATAGTGTTATCAGAGTGTTATTACTGCAATTTGCGTAATGGATTTTTACGAGACTAATATAGAAACATGTGTGTCGTGACATATATCCTCCTATAGATTTTATTTTCAAAGATAGGGAATAAGCTCAAAACGCACCTTTTTGAAGCACAATTCTTTTCCATTGAATTTATTTGTTTAGGCTTGCGGTGAACATGGAAAATTTCTATTTTCTTAATCAATTGTCAACATATACATGTCAATATTTCCATCAACAAAGACCTTTTGAACATCAGATTTAATCCTTCATAGCGAACAATTTTAAGCCTGTATGATTTTAATCTCTAATTTGGCCAGTACAAGGTAAACTCGTATAGTCATTTTTGTTTTATTGTAGGCCTACTTTAGACATTTCTCTGTCGCTTCTACAGGGCAACAATACACAGCTGTTTTCATCTTTCTTTCTCAACACACTTATTGACATATAAGAGTGCTTAAGGATGTTTCTGAAAGAATAATGTTTCCTTAATGACTGTGTGTTGATATTCACATCGCTGTCTGACCATGTACTTTTCCGTAAACAATATCTATATATGAACTCACTCTGTCTTTCCCCACTAAACATCCCAAATTTGAATAATTACATACAATGTTATTTCAAGAATGGCGTAAGCTGGTACACATGTATGCCTGGATGGTTAACTTGATTCAGGTTTAATATGTAGCCTCCAGAATAATTCAATTAAATTAACCCCATCATGACGTATTTCATCATTAGATTAACAGAGGATGATGAAAGCTTTAGATGTGTCCTCCTTTACCAGAATAAGAGTTTGGCCAAAATTTTCAGGGGGGGGGGTAGGTCTGGAATTCATCAGTTGATTACAGACTCTTGATTTCCTAATTGAAATTTAGAGCCTCTCCAAGCCAGATTTCCCAACCAAGGAGCGTAACAAAATATGTGCAAATTCCCTGCAGCGACCAAGATTACCGCAATTTTGTTGATTAGAAATGTGCATGACTGCCCTACTTGCAAATTGATTCACTTTCCAGTGCAAGGATTAAACAGTTATGGGAATGTCTTATGTTGAACAGTTCACAACATTTCACTGGTTTAGAATATCTGTAACATGACAAAACAGGAAGAAAATTATCTCGGCTGGACTCTGATCAGAGACAAGTGGCTCTCATCTAGGAAACAGCACAGACCTACAAGAGCAACATCTTGAACACCATAATTTGACAAAGACAGGAGACCCAAGTAGTTTCGAAAAAAACAAATACAAGACAATTATTAATATGATAAAATAAATATTTATTTTCTCCTTCATTATCAAGCTCAAAAAACGAAGGTTACATTCATTATGTAGATTCAAAGGTCAATCCATTTTAAAACTTTTAGCCTTACACAATGTGTGTTGCTAGTTTTATGTTGTGCCCTATTTGTGTACTGTACAAGATGCATGATCTGACAGTTTTCATTTTCATGTCATTTTCCATATTATATAAGTGAGGAAATTGTAAAAAGTTGGCTTATTTTCAGGATCCTATTAACCATTTCTTTCGTATATTGAAAAACACTTGCTTTCTACTTTGAAAACTCCCAAACTTCGCAAAACAACCTAATGGTTTAAAACCACCATCAAGAGGAGAGTTTCTCTCTTCATTTTGGTTCACATAATTAACATATCAGATGCAAACTAAAAGGAAGAACTAATTACCATCTTTAAAAACATTGCCTCCCAAACTTATTCCGATGAGGAGCATCAAAGGGACAAGATTGGTCCACAGTTTGTCACGTGAAATAGATTGTGAAGATCGTAATGAGTGTATTTCACTCCCAGGCATTTTTCAATGGTCATATTGACCCAAACACCATCAAGCGCATGTCTTCAGTTGGTAATGTATCGTGGGACATGGCTGTCGACATATCGGAACACTGTGAGCAGCAGATGGCAGTATACGTAAATCTGAAGTAGTGTCGGGAGAATTCGCTGCCTTGAAAGGACTAAGAGATTAACTCTTAAACCTGACTATAAGTTTGTCATAAAACATCACATAAGAGCCTGTCACAATTAAAATTGCATTGATCAACATAACTTGAAGGCTTTGTATAGTTCTTTTTTTTCCTCATTCACCTAGCCTTAGACTGAAATTTGTGTGCATGCTTTGTTTAAAATTAAAAGGGTCCATAGAATTTCTGAAAACCGAGAAATTAAACAATTAATGCCTTTTATGCTGCAGACAACAAACCCTGCCAAAAAATTGCAACGATGAAATTAATGATTGAACTAAGAATAGATCATTCTTTCATCCAGTACTTAAAACAGGTACACGTATTGTTATGAATTTTCCCACTGGAGATAATTTACACTCAATCCAACAAAGAAAAAAAGTTTAATTTCTCAGAATTGTGGATAAACTTAATAGCAAGGAAGAAATTAATCCTGAAAAACTTGATTGCTTGCTTTGTTGTAAATCCCATCCGTCGCACAACCCATGTCCTTTTTAGTGTACACAATTACTACTTCTGAGTTGTGCAACATGTTGGCTCCAACAGATCTTATCTCAGATAAGCCCTGCATGTTTCCCAACAGTTAGGTATATGAGGGATGTATGCCTCATCAGCACAACTGCATTTTCATTCAAGCAAAGAGTGATATCTAAATGTTCGTGGTGACAGACCAGATGGTAAAAGCCACAATTCTTCATCTCCTTAATCAACATTCTGTTAACTCATACATGAGCAGAGACTGAGAGAAGGCTTGTAGTCAGTCACTCTTCGGTGCTAAGGCAGTATTTGTCAGTAATCCATCCATTCTTTCATGTATATACATGTTGATGGTGATATGGCTCCACCCTCATAACATTGATTGAAGACCTGCACACAAAGAAAGAGGGAGAGGAAGAGAGAGAGATCGAGATCGAGAGAGAGATTGAGAGAGAAAGAGAGAGAGGGGGAGGGAGAGAAAGGGAGAGAGAGAGAGAGAGAGATGTAAAAAAAGAAAAGAAAAGGGACATTGTCTCATCCAAACTTTTTCCATCTGTTTTATAGTTTGCATCTTCTAACACATGCTCACAGCAATCTGATCAATAAAATGTGTCTGTAGTCTACCAGGATAACACAAAATATATGAAATTAACCAACGGTGGTTATTTAAAAAAAAATCATAGGTGAGATGACCCTACAACAAACAGAGTTGTAAAAACATGAAGAAAAATCTTTATGTTTAAAAGAACAAGCTTCCTAAACAAACAAGCATACTTTCATTTCATGGGAATTTAATTTTTTACACAAGGTCAGGAATTAAATCATTAACAGATCATTTGAATATGGAACATAGATCCTTTTTTTTTCTTAAAATATCATCTACAAATATATTCATTAGTAGTCATAAATACCCCATATTTATCCATACCCAAAACTGAAGCATCATGAACTACTTACTGGACAAACTCCACAAGGTGACCTCATCAACCCAGTGGGTTGGGTCAAAGGTTGAATGGCACGGTAGAGCTTAGAGGATGAATCTGATGATGATGTTCCTGCTCCTGCACTGATGGTCATCTCAACCTTACCATCATAGATGAGTGTGTTTAGAATGGTATTGATATCATCAACTGATAAATCAACCTAATACGAAAGAAAACAGAGTTTGAAAGAGGCATTAAATGATGATCATTTTAATTTTACCATCATAGCTCAGTATGTCTAAGATGCAGAGATGAGATCAACTCATAAATCAACGTGATAAGAAAGTTTGAGAGAGGTGGTAATATTCAAGGAGTTATCACTAAACTTTTAAATATATCTTTTAGCCACGAATCAGTGCATTAAACAAAAAGTACTCTAAAAAAGAAGTAAAGCATCAAATATCACATACTCAACATTTCTGTATTAGATTATGAATTAATATGACATCTTTTTTCTTCTTATGTATTTAATCAAATGACTAATAAGAATCACACAAAATTGTAGAGGAAAAAACATGTACATAGTTCATAACATAATATACATTCATACATGGTATATGCTGAAGCTTATTTTGAATAACAACAACTTACAACTGCATGAGAAGAATCTTTATCTAAGAACTTCCTTATTCTACTGAGGTTACGTAAGTGGAAATTAACAGAATTGGATACATTTGAAACATGATCTGACATATATTCATATGCTTGTCAAAGGTAACACCTGATATGTGAACAAATGGGGAAGGTGAAATGATGGTATGATCGTCAATCTTAAGATGGACATATTGTAACTGCTGATGGTGCTTTTGAGATGCTGCAATCATGAATTCTGTCTTGTCCTGAGTTTCAGTTTATTAGCCAACATCCTTGACTGAACAACAGACATAATAGTGTTGTGGTTTGCGCAATGTATTATCGATGCTTTGGGGAACCCTCAGATTACATGCGCAGTTTATGTGGATGTCTTTGGCATAAATATGGTGGCGGACATCATATTTATGTAAGATATCTACCATTGGCTGAAGCTACATGTTAAAGCACTGAAGGCCGATTACAGAGCCTTTAGAGATGCCATATTCTAGACAAAGTTTGGAGGTTGAATCGTGTATTCTCATATGATATCTACAATGCTGAAGGTAGAACTTGAACCAGGCTAGTGCAGATCTACTGATTCCGTACCGTTGTTGTAATATGCTGAATAACAAACTGTGATCGACCGTATCAAAGGCAGCTGACAGAACAAGAAGGATCTCAAAGACTGCTTGTTGAAGAATCAGTTTCACAAATGGATAATTTATAAGAAAACAACATACTATATGTATAGCACCCCTACCTTGCTGATCCGTAGTTCAGTGATGAATTTCCAGACCTCTTCAGGTGAAACAAATGATCTGTTTCTCTTCAATAGGGGGTCAAGCTGAAGTGCTGAAACACTTTCAACCTATGATTGTATGGGAGAAAATCACAAAGAAGCCACAAGTAAAAAGGGTTATCCTACAGTATGTACATGTACATGTATTATATATTAAAGCTTTAATTATGACATAGATTTGGACTAAGTACGTTTTTAAAAAAATTCAAAATGTAGAAGTACAGGATATCAGCTTATTGGCAATCTTTGGTACATTTTTTTCCTCCTGCAAAACTTAGCTACGTGCTGAATGGAAAGATACACATTAGGATACGGTACATACAAATATAGAACGATTTTGCAAGTAAAATCTGAGTGTGTAAGAAAAGGCCATTTTTATTTTTCTTCTTTTAAATAAATCATGTAGTGCATGCAGTGTGAATTTGCTGTCATAGAAGAATCATTTGTGCCCATTAAAAAAATGGAGCAGAAAATCAAGAATTTGTATGACTCGTGAGACTCTATATAAAATAACCGTCAGAGAGATTTGTGGAACAACATAAGCTCAATATATAGAGAGATGGCTATATAATAGGGAACTAACCTTTTGTTGTAGAAACTTGAAACACTGTTGGTTCAGGACTTCAACAAATTCTGACTCAAACTCCTGATCGCTATACCATGTTCCACCAGTCACAGAAGGGTCAGGGGTCAAATTAAACAGCATGTAAGCCTTTTTCCTTGCTGCCTGGAGATTCAAATGAAACAGTTGTTGTGTGTGCTCTTATTCTACTGTTTAATATGATTCAACCAACAACAGAATGTTCACCAAAGAGTTAATTGGATAAGTGTGTGATAAACATATATATATATATATATATATATATATATACATATCAATTGGGCATAGTAATCAGTTCTACTTGTACAAAATACATTTTATCATCTCAACAGCAGGCAGGCAACTACAGAATTTGAGGAAAATGGGCTGATCAGTGTCGGACATTAAAACCAAATAATGATTTCAAATTAAGTTGTAGTCAGACACACAATTTTTTTTTTGACTTTCTCATTAGTCTCACTGGGAATCATACTGTTTGTTCCTTAGTAAATCACTTGATATTGATGAAAGTTTCACACTAAATGAAGTTATTTTGATAAGTTGAAAAACCAAATGATAATTTATACTTTTAGGGAAGTTATTTTACAAGGCCCTTTGGCCTTATTTTAGTTCCCCTCTCATTTTTTACTGTTAAATTTGGTGTCTTTTATACTGTTAACATGTATGATTGCATGTAATCTTTTGGATAATGTATAATATTGTAATGATCTATTGTTTTTATATGAAGATGGAGATATATGAACAAATGAATGAATAATTCTGAAGCACACATGGAAGTGTGCCCTAGTAATCCTTCTACCGTATTACTTAGACAAATACCTACCCCAACAGACTTGACAGCCTTGATGAGTTTCCTGCTCTCCAGATTCTTCAAGATCTTGTTGAGTTGAGTAAGCTGTAGATTGCTCTTCAGCCTGATGTCTCTGGTCCATATTCCTTTGTTTCCCGATTGCTCAATGATCTGATACACCAGCCGCTCTTGATTGTCTGCTCCTTTGATTTTACTTTTAAAGATTAGAAAAACATGACTGGTTAAGCTCGAAAATGGTTACAACTTTTCTTTTACATTTTTTTACACCTTAAACTTTAGTAACCACCAGTAGGCCTAGAATCTGGTCTACAATCATGTCAGATCAAAAACTATGAAATACCATGTCAAAAGTATGATACAATAAGAAGTTAACGAAGGGTATCAATACGTAACGATGCAGGTTAAGGGTGTGTAGAAGTTTTGGGTAATGAATGGCTACTACGTTGTCAATATAATTTCCCCAAAGTTAGGACAACAAATTACATGTATGTCTTCAAAATGTATGCCATATCTTTGCAAGTCTGTAATAAATACTGGTTTATTATTCAGACATTGTTAGCTGCAGTAAAAATTAACATCCAATCTGCTACATGAGGGTACTTGTTTTATTCAGTTATAAGGCAGATAACAGTCTCTATATTTACATATATATATATATATATACAATGAAGCATTTTTAAAATTTTCTTTACAAATAAGGATGGAAAATTACCTCACAACACCAGGATCCTTTAAACGGTATACCAGTTCATTGCTTGTCTTCACTAAGTCTATTTTACCCTATAAAAAAAACAAGAGGGGAAATATAATACTGGCTACCTACAGAGTACAGTCATGAAGGAAAAAAACAACAATTCTTAAACAAACTATCATACTGCATTGCGCCTTGAAGGAAAGTGGTAGGACATCATAAGCTTTATCACAGTCTAAATACAAAATAGAAAGCACATTGGGAACAGATTGACAGATTTGGAATAAACAAAAAATGACATGAACATTGAAGGAAAACTTAACTGTCATTAATCCAGACGTTTGCTCATTATTCAATGATTGAGAAAAAAAAATCTGATTTATCATGAATACCAGAAACAATCTTTTACTTTAATGGGCAATTGAACTGCACTACAAGATTTGAATAATATACATGTACTAGTTCTAATTTGACAATTTAGTAACATGTCAAAAAAACTTTTCAATTCTTTTAAGAAATACAAAAATGAAAATTCTCACCGAAGAAAGAAGTCTGTTGACAGCTGATACTCTCTGCCGAGTATCAACATTGGGTAACTCCTTCTGAAGAGTCGAGTCTGCAATGCCATCTGGATTTTGTTTGCACAATTCCAAAATTCTAAAATATTGACAAGAAAAAAGATCATATTTCATAAATTAATGGTAGCTGTTGATATTAAAGTTGTATTACAAAAGTAATTTTTTTTTACATATAACCAACCAACTGTCTAATTTTCAAAGTTTCACAATGTTTTTGAAAAGTCTTTCATGATACAGATTTTAAATCGATAACTTTTCTGCTCATGTCATTAAAACAAAGGATTGTTTATTTTCCTTTTCCTCACTACTACATCCTAAATTAAGGATCCTGCGGAGTATCGTCATAGAAGTAGAAGTAGAAATCTTGAAGGGTCTGTATGCAGTTTGGGGGACAGTAGAAGTCATAACCATTACCTCTCTAGTCTTACAGTCACTGTCTACCCTCTCACAAATGTCTTTCGAACAGTGATAACATTGTAGTATTCCTTTTATAGTTTGATCTGGGGAATCTCTGAAGCGAGATGGAAAGAACTGTCAGGTGTGGGGAATTCTTACTTTATACTTACTCTACTCACTTTAAGTTTAAAGTAAAGTAAAGTAGATCTGAGTAAAGTAAATAAAAGTTTTGAAAAATGAAATAAACAGAAAGTCAGAATGGACTAATAATGGCTTTGCAATACTAAGCAATATATTGTGAATAGCATATCATTTATATTTATAGGTCCTCTAGAGAGAATCTCTGATTTTCTGCTTTCCTCTAGAGTCTAGATTAATAAGTTTAAAAGGTACCATTTCCCTTTTAAGAGACAGAACTGGCTTTCGGTCAACTCATGTCTCACGATTCTCTGGAACCAGCTCTGAGTTCTGTAAGACTAATGCCTGGATAACATTTGGCCCGGGCGCCGCACGATAAATTGGTCTACGATTTTTTGTGCGATTTTGGGGGCATCGTAGGAGGCTACGGGCTACGATGTTTGTGTTTACATTATCTACGAGCATCATGCCATTTCTTGTATTGGCCCTCGGGGGCAGACCGGGACACATCCGTACAGAGGCTGCTCGGAGATTGTACGGAAATCGTGCAATTTCAGTGCAACACCTGTGCAGTCTCTGCAAACTCCGCACAGAAATCGTACGGAGCTCGTGCAGCTTTTGTGCAGAGCTAGTTGTGAATTGTGCGGAGAAGGCGCGTTGACCGTGCAGCCTCCGTGCCGTTTTTTTGGCGTCTATTGCCCCCATGTTCACTGAAAAATCATGCGTTTGCTGCACGATCAGCGTGAGACCTCCACGCAATGCCTGTGCGGGGATTGTGCAATGCAATGCCACCTACGACACGTCTACGGGCTACGGGCTTACGATTTTCAAATTTGTTTAACTCCCGCGAAACAAAATGGTAGTCGCCGCGGAGCCCGTGAATCCGTACAAACATCTCACGGCCGCCTCCTGGCCTGCCTCCCCACGAAGGCCGCACGGAAATAGGAAAACGGGCAGGATACGGGCCCCCGTAGATCACAAAGAAATGTAATCCAGGCATTAGGGTAAGCACACATATTATATCACATGTGGGACTATTTCAATCACATCTCAATAAACATTCACAATTTTAAACACATCATGCAAAATTGAAGGATTCTCCATTTCCCAAAAAACATGTGTCATCATTCATACCTCTCCTCTAGATTCATAGCATCTGGTGCTTCCTGTTTTTCTTCAGCACTCATTTTGTTACCCGGTTATGTTTTTTCATGCACACACAGTGGAGTTATTAGGTGAAGAGAAAACACACAAACAAAATGGCGGAAAATAATGTTTCATCCATAAAAACAGTGAGTTTTTATCCTTTTTTGTTACTTTGTATAGATTGTTATGTTGGCTTAATTATTTCAAACGTATTATCATACTTTTATCATCTTTACAGGAAGATTTGGTGGTTGAAGGATGTCGTATGCCGGTGAGAATGGATCAAACGGATGAGTGGCGTAAGTTTGAATGGCTTTATTACACCTTGGTCCCAGATGTTAACTTGTGTGTTGTGTTCGCTAATATAAAGAATTTCTCATTTCATCTCCTCTTTCTCTCTGAGTCTGAGATTCTTCATTTCTTCTTCCACTTTTAAGAGCAGTTTATGGAGTAATGCATGATTTTTTAACATTGTGTTTATTATGTTTTTGTTTTGAATGCACAAATTCCTAGGGCTGGGCGGCTGGCTAGGCCTAGGAATAGGAGTAGACTCTAGGCTAGTGTCTAGGACCAAGTCGGTAGATTCAATTCAGACCCGATTTGTTGCAATATGAATTTCATAATCATGATAATGTTCCTTGCCGATACACCCCTTCACGGTTAAGGCCGCCATTTTAATATACGCTTAAACATTGTGTCATCAATGTATTGTTCTGTCACTGCCTGCGCTGTAAGCTCACATCATATTTACATGGGCGCCATCTTAATTTACGAGTTTACTCGTAAATTAAAATGGCGCCCATGTTTGCATATGTGCAATCTTGTAACCGTAAACCAGTGTATTGCCCCCCCTACATGTAAATATGAAGTCGATAGAATATAGTACTGCATTATAAACATTAATATTGTTCAGTGATGATGTTTACACAATTTTGAGATTGAAATACCTTAAACATTAGTTACCACCAGTAGGCCTAGATTCTAGGTCTAGTAGGAAAAATACAAACAATATCCACTAACATTTATGATTTGTACTGTGTACCTCTTGATTTTAAACAAAATGATCAGTGCATATCAGAAGTTATCTTATAAATTAGGTAACAGACATCATCTGATCATGGTTAATACTTATTGCAATTCTAACTTCTATTGACCCTTACAATGACAAGTGCATGGACAAATAAATTTTGATTTCGATTTTTATTATCAAAAATTTCTTTTAAAGTTGACCTCATAGAATTTGAATTTGGTGGTGTGGGGGGGGGGGGGTGGGGGGAAATTGCATATAATCCTCTCTTTTTTTTTAAATTGTCTTATTATGACTCTGTTGTCCTTAAAACAATCACGTACAATATAGATATTGGCCTGAAATCAAAATGGCAATAGTGAAAACTCAAGTAATATTCATCTCTCATTTCTATGACTTGACAGAGCTCCATTATGTTACTTACTTACTTTGGTGTAGAGACTGGAAGCTTAGCTTATTTGTCCCTCTTTACTGTTGCATCCCGTCTCAAGTATGGTTCAAACTTAATTAGATTGTTTCTCCAATACCTTTCTAGGGATGACTTGAATTGGTTAATGGTGGCAGCATTGACTACTTCCTTAGGCAGGGCATTCCAATTGTTTACACCTCTTATTGAGAAACTATACTGCCTAAGTCTTGTGTTCAAACGTTGTTTGACAATCTTGAAATCATGTCCTCTTGTTGTTGATCCAGTGGCAAGTTGGAAGAATTTTGTCTAGCTTTCATTTATACTTTGTTTTTTCTATTTGTAACGTAGGATTGTCATTATTTTTCTCAATCTTTTACTTGGTTTGATATAGCTCTCGGAGAGATCATCAGTCGCAAGGATACAGATGATGGAGTCCTGTTTTATGTCCATTACATTGATTGTAAGTAATTTTGTTGTGGAGATGTAGGTCTATGTTATCATGATGGAATTATTTATTTGTATTTAATTATGTCTTTTCTATGGTAATTAATCTGTAAAGGGCGTTAATAACATATTTGAGATAATAATCAGAAATTTACCCAAATTGGAATAAAATTAACAATAAGTTTTAAAAAATGTCTCTATCTGAAGAAAAAAACAGGATTTTAAAGCATTTCTTGCATTTTTCTCCTAAATGCATATAGTGTTGAGCACAATCAAATAATACAGAATTATAATTTTTTATTTGTTCATCATTTATCATCAAGGGAATTAAGTAAGATTCATACTTGAGTCAACCACCTTTGACTTTTTTTGCTTTTTCACTTGTATCCATAGGTTTTTATAAATGCTGCATGTTTAGAGATCTCTGTTCGATAGTTGATTTAGACGCTGTACTGTTGGGCATCATTTTGTAAAATCAATGTTCTTGCCAGTTTCCGCAAGCATTTAAAACCAACAAAATCTATTGTTTTTCAGACAACAAGCGTCTTGATGACTGGGTCACACTGGATAGACTCAACTTGGAGAAGCTTCAGATGCCACATAAAGAAGCCAAGACTCCACAGAAGGAGATCCTAACACCAAACTGTAGCTCCAGGGCCTCCACCCCTGAGAGGGAACTACCTGCCCTTGCCGCATCCACCCTCGCTGCACCTACCCCGCCCCCAGCACCTGTTGTGGTGCATGTGAGTGGAACTTTAATAATTTAACCTCAGAATATTCATTACTTGAAGGTAGCATTTATATTAAGCTGAACCAACTACAATCCCGTATCTTGACAGGATGAGTTGAAAGAAAGACAACAACAAAATAATGGCTAATTTGTAGGTTGTATGTATGTATAGCTTGAAAACAATGCTTTTATTAATTCCTATGTTCTTAATTCTCCCTTTGCTTTTTAAGTCTATATATGATGTACATGTATTGTGACTTTTCTCTTAATATAGTCTTCCATAGAGGTCATCTGGTACAGAAACATGTTCAGAGGATAAGTATATTTCATGTTTAATGATGAACAACCTTGCTTTAAGTACTTATATATGTAGGAAATAATGCTTTCATCTCACTTTGCCTCACCTGGTTCATTACAGATTCTTTTCTTCTTTTTGTTCTACAGGTGAATGGCAATGTACCCAAGAACAAAGGCAATCCTGTTGGCAGGAAAAGAAAGCTACCCTTCCTTGAAACAGAGGTAAGATACTCATTATGATATGATTATGATTTGAGAAGCACAGCAGTCTTTGCAGTCTAAGACAAACTTTCCATAGTATTATTCTTTAGACTTTCTTCTATTTCCTTTTTTCTTTTTTTGTTTCTCTTTTCTTTTTCAACCCATCACTACCCATCACCTTGTGTGCCCAGATGGATAAGGAGGATGATGGTTCCTGTTTGAAGTCCTGTGTGTGATGATATCTGCAGATTGCAGTGATTAAATCTAAAAGTGATGTAAAGATATTATAATGCCATGCTGACATCAGAAATTTCAGTGTGATAATAAATATTATTTTTACAAAAACAACTTGATGTAAGAAGGATTGAATTTTTCAGCATGTTTTGCAACAAAAGCATATGGTATGATATTGACCAAAAATTTAGTGATCTGAAATTGGAATAGCAATTTTCATGGCAAATAATGGGTTCCTCTAAACAGTTTAATAAAATATATAAATGTTATCGATCTGTGTTTGATATTCAATATCACAAATCCTTCTTCTTGGAAGCTTGAAAGCTTGAAAGGCCAATGTTTCTCCACTGTGCTCTCTCCATACGTGAAATAATGTTGGGATTCTTAGGAATCTATGGACATTTTACGTTTCCAGGATTCCTTGGACATCTTGAATGTGAATGCACCCAGACAAACTGGAAGTATGGTGGCAGATAAGAACCATGATGACATCATCACCCGTATCAAGAACATTGAGATGATTGTCCTTGGGCGCCACTGTATACGACCCTGGTACTTCTCACCATACCCCATTGAGCTGACCAGTAAACCTAAGATCTACCTCTGTGAGTTTTGCCTTAAATATGTCAGGAGTGTCAAGTGCTTGGAGAGGCATAAGGTAAGCTGTTCTGATTGAACTACTGACAGTATACGTATATTCAATCGTCACATCAAGAGATGCTTCATTTCCTTATTAAATATGCAGAAAAAATACATATGTCACACAGGATACATTGCATGGAATCACCCTTTGGTATTCACTTGAAGTGGCTTGAGAGTCCACACTGATGGGCAACAGCATCACAGTGGACTCTCACCATACTCTGTAAATGAAGTGGTGTGGCTAATAAGCAGATTCCCATTAGAGTTGATCAAAAATAGGTGCGCTGTGGTTTATTTTTAGATATTTCTTGGCTGTTACTGATGTAACATATGCTGAGGCATACTCAGGCCTGATAATTACCCGATTTAAATAGGTTTCCTGATTATTATTTTTTTTCCTGATTTTATCCTGATTTTCCAGATTTTTCCTAATCTTCCCCTTATTTTCTCTATTCTCCCCTATTTTTTCCCAATTCTCTAATTCAAAAGGGGGGGGGGGGGAATGTTGTTACATCCAATTTTTTTTCCCCGAATCCTCTTCTTTCCTTTTTTTACTCAAGGGGGGTGTGATTGAGGGAAGCTAATTTTGTAGGTTATATGTTTCTCGTTAATTCACTTGTCAATTGTCTTTTGTGAATGTGAATTTTATTTACGGATTTTAACTTTGCAATTTTGAAAGATGAATAGAATCTGGTCTATATAACCCCTCTCCCCCCCCCCCCCCCCCCCCCCCCCTCTCAGATTTCTACATCACTGTTAGTGTATGCCTGAAATAATCTTCTCTTTTTGTCTATACGCTTAGGCCAAGTGCAAGCTGAGACATCCACCTGGAAATGAGATCTATAGGAAGAACCCCATTTCATTCTTTGAAATCGATGGTCGGAAGAACAAGGTAAATATTACAAACCATTTTAGAGTGATATCGTGTTTTTTTTAATAGAACAACTTTTCATTGTTAAGTGGATATATTCCAAATTGTGAATTGATTTGTCCATTTTCATTACCCAGCTGTGGCATTTTTGGGGAAGATATTAATTTACAATTAAGTGCAGTAAATGGGTACCGGTACGTGGTTTGTTGCAAGAAAATCCTTGAATGCTTTGGGTGCTCTTTATGGCAGTCAGGCTGAAGCCAATTTAAGAATAACGGAGCTTTAAAATTACCAATTCGATTTGTTTGGAGAGAAAAAAATGCAATGTAGATCTCCACTGTGTGATCATAAAGAGATGGCTACATGTCATCAATGTGATAATGGTAATGATACTGATACAATCAGTTTTTGTAGAAAATGTATATGACTATGTAAAGTTCTCTCCAACTGATGCTATTGATCCAGGACATTTCCCTAAAGCTTAGTATCATTCATTCATCTACCATACCTTCTTTTATCTCAACATTATTTTTAATGGATAGGTATACTCCCAGAACCTGTGTCTACTAGCCAAGCTGTTCCTAGATCATAAGACACTGTACTATGACACAGATCCATTCCTCTTCTATGTCATGACTGAGTTTGACAGCAGAGGTTATCACATTGTGGGCTACTTCTCAAAGGTAACAAGTGATAAGCTCTATTATACAAACCTGTTATCATTCATGAACATGGCCCTCGGTCAGTCAGTTGTAATCAATATTAGTTGTCATCACTTCCAGGATAACGGTAAATTTTGAGTTTGTTAGTTCTGAGGACCTGACCATTTTCTCTATTCGCATTTTTAAGTTTTAACCCCAACATTATACTGTGTACAATATTTATTAATGAGGGTGCATATATTTGTATGCGTAGTTGTATTTGTAAAACATGGAAGTTTCTTTGGTTGGCATAAACATATCTTTTAAAGATTTTAATAAGTGATGATGACATTTATTGAAATATTCATCATGGACAAAAACGTTTTTATGTTTCTTTTTGTTGTTGATGAAATGAAGAAAGAAGTAGCTAAATTGTACTTTATGAATCAAATTTTTCTCAGCTCCTTTGTACTTCAGAATATTCAAAAAAAATGAAGGCCTACACACCCTCCATTGCCATTGTTATGGAATTGACTCACTGTTATGAATGAGACCAAGCTTGATATCAAGAAATGTGGCTCAAACCAATCTCTTCCTCCCCTAACCCCTAAAGTGGATGTTCTAAGTGTTCTGTCATCTAATGGGTAGCCTTCAACCCTCTTCATTCACAGGAAAAAGAATCAACAGAAGACTACAATGTTGCATGTATTCTCACTCTACCTCCGTTCCAAAGAAAAGGCTTTGGAAAACTACTTATAGAATTCAGTAAGTGCTTTAACTTGTCGACAATGAAAATACAATGATTATAACAGGTAGAGTACATTAAATACACAAATTTAACTAAAAAGTAAATTGCTCAAACCTTAACAGCAAATTAATGTTTATTGTAGAAAAACTATGAATAGTTATTTGAAGCTATTAGGCATTGAAGAAAAAAATGGGATGAGGAGTATGAGTATGTGTGTACATTGTAAATGGATGCCATGATTTTCACAAGAATTAATGATCTTTTACCAAATACTTTTATCATTCATAAACATCCATTGCACAGCAAAAATGTATTATACATACTGATCATGTAACAGGAAGTGTAAGTGGGAGAAACATTTATCATAAAGAAGCAAAATGATCTACATTTAAACTTCACCTCATTATGTTTCATGTAGAACTGATACTTTGACTTATTCATAAATCACAATCCCGTATTCCAATACATTTCTCTGCTTTACCTCAGGTTATGTGTTGTCTCAGTTCGAAGGCAAGACAGGATCTCCTGAGAAACCTCTATCTGATCTAGGACTACTGTCCTACAGGAGCTACTGGTCTCAGGCCATCTTAGAATGCATCCTCAAGTTACCCAAGCCACCTGATGGTGAGAGGGCTCAAATCACAATCAGGTACGGAGACGGTTCATTCTTCATGCTTCAGTGATAACTGCTCCGTGGTCAATTTCCTATGTTAATTTAATTTCTTACCTCAACCCTGGACCAAACATTACATCTAACCCTAACCATAAACCTAAACCTAATATACAACCCTAAGCATTTCCTTTATCCTGACAAAAGAAAGCCCCAAGCAAATGCTGTTACAGCAAATGCCAGGTTACCATTGATTAAAATATAGGAAGACATGATTTCTCTGAAGTCTACCACACAGTATATTTTATATTCAAAGCACTATATCATCAACTTTTTGTCTTGACAATGAAAGGTCTGTGTTAAATACAAATTTAGACACCCATAAAGTGGGAATATTAAATACCTGGAGAAGAAAAAAAAATCCTACTTCACCACCAGAGAATTTTTCAGAGACAACATACTGTAGTTAGAGTTGTTTAATTTGATCATGTTCCTCCATTAGGCCTTAAAAAAAAAAAAGATTTTGTAATGCCCTTTAGGTGCCCAAACATTGGTCGGTCGGTCAGAAATATTTATTTTTAAATATTTTTTTTACTCCCTCTTTGGGCTGATATTTCTCAGTTTTGAATGCTTTAATTCATGTTTTTTCTATTAAAAAAAAAGCTGACTGAAGATTTCAAGATTTTGGGTTGGTCGCAAGTTGCAATACAACATCTTTTTTTTTAGGCCTTATCAGTATTAGAAAAGTGGATATGTTCAGACTCTTTTGAGAGTCCATCCGATAAGACTTTAGATCTAGTTGGGTACAATTTTTTTCTTCTTTATATCTATTTTTTGAAAATAAGAATTTAAAAAAAAATTCCTGTTGAATTTTATGAATTCATCATTCAAGTTCTACTGTAAATAGAAAAAAAGTACAACTTAGTCATTGCCTGTTTTTAAATATTTTGTTAACAGTGACGTCTGCGAATCAACCAGCATCCGTAAAGAGGATGTGATCTACACCCTGTGCAACCTGAACCTGATCAACTACTACAAGGGTCAGTACGTCATCACCTTGGCCAAGGATGTGGTAGATGCCCACCAGAAGGCCATGAGTAAGCGCAAGATCCGCATTGACCCTAAGTCTCTGCACTGGACACCCAAGGACTGGTCAAAGAGGGGCAAGTGGTGATGGATGGAAAGGAGTAGAGAAGAAAATCCATATATGGACAACTTAGAGACATTGTGAAGATGATTAGATCCCTACATTGACCCTGAGTATCTGCACTTGACATAGGACCATAAGGGACTGGTTCAAGGGGGGGGGGTAGAGTGGTGATGGCTGGCAGAGAGGATCAAGAGAGAGAGAGAGAGAGTCCATCTTAAGACAAACATTGTGAATATGATGGTAATGATTGGCTGAAGGATGGGATTTAGTACTAAGAAAAGTGATGACTGGAAAGTTTGGTTTGAACTTAGCTGGTAGAATTTGTGCTGGAGAAGGACAAAATCAGGGCGAAATTCGACAGTGGCAGTGTTACACTGAAAGGACTTTCTACCTGAGGAATCATGCCTAGTGTAAAAACATCAAAAAGATGATTTAACTCTACAATTCACAAGACTCCATGTAAGTCTCAATTCATAAGAATGAATAATTTTCAGCTCATTCATTAACCATAAATTTTACATGAAACATGCCCCCCCCCCCCCACAAATTGTGGCATGTATTCTGTCCGCTCTACTAGATATAAATAATTCCCGTAATTCTCACAAACATTTACAAAAAAATAGTATATGGTTAGTTTGAAGAAAAAAGTAGATTTCTCTCAACATGCTTTAAAAACTTTAGATTTAAAGAGAAGGTCGATTTCTGGAAAGAGGTGAAAAATAATTTATGAGCGTTATCATTGTATTATGCAAGTGTGGAAGAACATCAGATAAAATATGATCCCTGAAAAGCATGGCTCTTCAAATGCCTTAATATTCTAAATATGGCATGTAACATCCTAAAAATCTGTACAGATTTTTATGCCACATGTTTGTGTAGTCCCATATACTGTTCATCTTTCTGTGTACAGTACTTGTAACTTTACCAAGACTGCGCCAAATTTGTTATCATTTTGATGGTTCCAGAACCTTGCAGTACACACCAATACTTATATACTAGATGATCAATCTTTTCTGATCAATTCCACAACTTTAATTTCACAATGCAATCGCATGACAAGAACTCAACTTTATCTTTTATGAGATTTATTTTTAACAAAATCATTCTTGAAACATATATATGCCCCTTTCCTGTGTAATATAATGTGAATTTAATTAGAATGTAATACTTTGTTAGAATTACCCAATTTGATTTGTTAATGCTTACATACCTATCAAGTAGATGCCTTCAAACAATGTGAATGTAATAGTATTTACCGTGAGGAATGGAATTAGTAGTTTTGTTTCTGTTCAAGAAATTTGCTAAGAGATGGAAGCTAAGCCCAGCTAAGTATTTGCATTTATGCTGCAGGCTCTGTCTGAAGAGATCATCTTCCTTTTTCCTAAGCTTTCTGTTCAGATAATCTTTAATTCCATACATTGTTAGTAATTATCTCTCATATCTTAATATTTGTTCAGGAAGATACATCAAGCTACTTTGTACTTTGCTTATTTTCATGCTCCTGGAGAAAAAAGGACCATATAAAGCCTTTTTCATTTTGCAAAATTTAAAAGAAAAATCAATTATTTATTACAGGTATTGTAGTTTAAAAATCTAATGTATTTTTACTTTTTGAATATTTTCATTTGCTCTGTCATGAAGTATGAAAACACTACTCCCTTGCATTCTTTATTAATCAACATTATGGCTAGTGCAGTTATGGTGTATTTTGAATATTATAGAGAATATTGTCTCAAAAGTTCACCCTTGAAATGTATCATATAATGACATTGACTATTGTCATTTGTGCATAGATATACATATCTGTAAATGAATCGTGCAGTTGTTAATAATGTGTGTATTATTTTATATTTAAAAAAATAAAAGGAGAAATTTACATGAAAATCTGTTCAAAATTTGAAGTAGTGTACATACACAGCCTACTATAGTATGCTCCCAATAGCTTTTATCACATGGGTAAGTTTTACCACACAATAGTCTTTGACTTTCCAATATGGAAATGGGCAAATTGCTCAAACTGGTAATAAGTTCTCATCAGTGTATGTATGTTGTGAATCTCTGTGTGATGATGATGGTGATCATGATCATGATGAAAATTGATGATGATAATAATGTTGATGATGGTTGATTATGGATGATGAAGATGATGATGGTTGATTATGGATGATGATGATATTTCAGAATTATTGAAATTAAAAAATAATACAAATCGTGCTCCCTTCTAGATGTTTACTTATACTTTACTAAATAATCCCTTTAATTATGACACTCAGTAATACAATATTCGGATAAAATAGAATAACATTTTGCATCAATATTCAAGACATTACTCCTGGTGATCCACATAAGCTTTAACTCAGTTATAATTCAGGATTCCAGTGTCGGCCTTGGGTCCCACTCTGATTGGTAGACTGATCTTTAGTAACAATTCAAGTCAGCTGGAATATATATTATGGATACTGGAGAGAGTGGAATTATTCTCAAATTCAATTTTAACAAGACTGAAAGTGTCACTTGAAAATCCCCCAGAGTCCTTAAAACGGTTTTAGCCAGGTGACTATAATCTTACCTCATTGTAATAAAATAAAGCAAGATTAGAATTAATATAGATGTATACTAAATTATAAACAAATTAAGCAAAGGGGACAAAATATAAGACGATAATCTTGGAGACATTAATTGTAAACCCCAAGCAACATGAAACATCTGTATTATCTTAGCATTTCAGCATGGTGGTAGAGGTTATTTTTAAAGCATTATTAAATCAGAAAGTTAAATATACATTTTTGATGCAATTGTAACATTTCACACTCAGCGGTTTATCCTCGGTGTCCGAAAATATTAGATCTGTTGAGGGGGGGCAGGCGCGATCCAGGATTTCTTAGGGGTGGGGGCCCAATTTTTTTTTCTTTGCTCCCGAAAATTTGAAAATCGCGCCGGTCTAAAATGCGCTCAGGGGGGGGGGGGGGGGGGGGGGGTAGTGAGCACATTTATTTTTTTGCCCTCGAAAATTTGAAAAATTGCACCCCCCCCCCCCCAATCTCCCAAAAAAGGTAAAATTAACGGGGGTTTTCTCAGGGGGCCGCCCCCCCCCCCTCCCCCTGGATCCGCCACTGAGTGGGGGGCACGTGAAAATGGAAATATATACCTCCCACTCCACCCCCTTGTTTAATTTTTGTACGTCACAAATTTCAATGTCTCAATCTCGCCAACAAAATATTGTACGAAGTGGGAAGCGATGTGTGTTCGAAAATGATATTGGCACATGATGAAAGAAAACATGAGACCCATATCTCAACAAACCTACAGCGTCATGATGATCGCGCGAGATACCAACCAAGTCCCGTTGTCATGGTTAAGTAAATAAACAAACTCATAACATAATGCTCTCAATCACTTCTCAAAAAAATATGTTTGAACTATCAAGACCCATGTTCATGTGGGGAGCTGTCAAAATGTTTGCCGTCGTTCTCAACATGCCTCTGCAGATAGGACTTGCCCTCACATGAATGCATGCAAATATCAAATAATAATAATAATAATAATAATATTTAATTTTTATATAGCGCTATATGTTATTATTTCAAGTTTGTACGTCTTGTATTATATTTGTAGGATCATTTGTAATGATTGTAATGATTTGTAAAGATTAAAACAAACAACTTATTCTTTCGGTCTATGCTTCTAATTATTTTATATACTTAGGCCTATACATAAATAAATAAATAATAAACAAAAAAGTTGTTCTCTTCCGTTCAAGTCACACCTCCCCTCCTCTCTCTCTCTCTCTCTCTCTCTCTATATATATATATATATAATATATGCGTGCGTGTGTGTGTGTGTGTGTGTGTGTGTCGCGATCTCTCTCTCTCTCTCTCTCTCTCTCTCTCTCTCTCTCTCTCTCTTTCTGTCTCGTCTGTCCTCATCGTCGTCTTTCTCTCCCACTCCCTCATTTGCCAGCATAAACCGATCAGATATTACCAGAACATCATGTACAGCATCTGCTCCACAGAAACGACCCATATCCCCTTGATGCACCCGATACATGCATGCGCGCTGATAAGCGTTCGCGAATGGAAGGGAGAGGGGTAACGCACCAAACTCGTGGACAAATTCCACAAATGGCTAATGTTTTTAACATGCAGTAATGTTCGAAGTTCTCATTTTCCTAACATAGGGATATAGTTTAAAAAATAAACATACCTTTAATGTATACATTTTACAACTACGGAAATTCCCGAAATAACATGAGCGGAGGGAATAATGGGGCGGTCCACTCCATCCCCGATACCAAGAAGCAATCCATAGATAATTGTATAATTTCTGACATCTCTTCTATTGTCTCCTACAATAATACTCGATCATTGAATAGATCAAACCGGGGGGGGGCAGTTGAAAATATTGCTACATACACACTCGCGACCCCAAAACCCACCAAAACGTGTAAACATGGTATATTTTCTGCTGGTTAAGTTGAGTGACGCATTTAGGGTGTAAAAAAGGGTTATTTCATAAATCTGGATAAAAGAAGAGAGGGATGATGTTAAGTACATTGCCTTGTCGTAGAACGTTTTGAGAGTTATTCTGATAAATATACGAATTTATTTCTTTCTCTATATTTCTTGGTTTCACAGGCAGCCAAAACAGTAGGTCATCCTTGCCTTGACTTTGTGTTTCCATACACTGTATAATTTGTAATTGTTCATATAAATACTATCTTTTTTTAGGGGTTATTACTTTTAAACCTTATTTTGGGATATGTTGGAGGGGTCAATTTAATTAGGGCATACCTAATTTTTAGAAAAATCGAGAAAAAAAATCGATGAGGTCGTGATTTTGACCAATATATAAAACTTGTTTAGGTAGGTTTATGAAACCTGCGGTCACGCATGTGTTCAATATATTTGACTGCTCACCCGATCCCTCCCCTCCCACCCCAACCCCGGAGATCATAGATGTGTAGTGAGATGAGGAAGACCTATTTGGCATGGTTGTTAATGGCAGGCTATCGTTGTTTGGATATTGAAAAGTAGTTAACAGACTGGAAAATGCTAGGATAGGACTTTAGAGAGTGAATAAGACCGGGAAAGCCAACTGAACACTTATTTAGAAGATTGTAAAATACCATAAAAAAGGTGAAAAATAATTTCATAACTAGTAAAAAGGGGCATCGTGGATGTACTACATACTCTGACATAGCTTTGTGGCGCAGCTTGTTCACGACAGGCGCAGCCTCTTCATCCCTGGCTCCCCTGAAGCTCCCACGATAGACTTTAAACCTGGCATCCCTAGGACCCAATTTCCATTCATTTGAAATGTCCTCTTCTCTCTCTCTCTCTCTCTCTTTCTTCTCTCTCTCTCTCTCTCTCTCTCTCTATCTCTCTCTCTCTATCTCTCTCTCTTCCCCCCTCTCTCTCTACCCCCCCCCTCTGCTTTCGATCTCACATTTACTTTCCCTCTCTGTTTCCCTTGCGTACATGACTGTATTTCAAGCCCAATCGTATTTTATTCCCTCACCCATGCACTCTATAGCTTTGTCCGTCCGTCTCAATCATTGTTTCCCTGCCTGTCATTTCCAGATCTATTTTATGGCAAATTTCGGTTTCCTAAAAAAAAAAAGGGGGGTTAGATCTTAGTCTCCAAGCACAATGTATATACATGTGCACACACCCCCCCCCCCCCACCCTCTCACACCTCCTCTCCAAAACCAAAAGAATTGTCGGAGTTGACAAAAAAAACTTCAAAGGTAGAAAGGACGCCGGCTTTGAACAACCAGCAAAAGTACTTATATTTAAATGGCCGAACAATTTCATATAATTTATATCACTAAATTTTCATGCACTTTTTCCTTTGTCCATTCATTGTTTTCCTATTTTTCTTCTTTGTCTGCGTCTTCTTTTAATTTATCATATTAATACTTTATTTGTATTTATATCCAGCAAACACCGCGAACGATCTGGCTACAATCTTTTGTAATAATTTACGGCTTTGCTAAAGTTCTTTTCTTTTTTTGAGGGGATTAAAGCTTGTTGCGAAACTGCAGATGTTAGTTGCTCTGTCAGCCTTGGACAAGCATTTCAGTGTTCAAAACAATACACCATTTTCTTAATGTAACAAAATGTATGCATATGCCTTTGTGAAGCGCATTGATACTAAATATTCCATTCACCTGCTACGAATACAGTATCTCAATAGCCGGAATTCAAATTACATTCATTAACTACTGTTGCTAGGTTGGGCAAACACTATGGCTTGTCATACCTAACATCTCGTATATGCTATTTGTATACGGACCTTTGAAATACAATTCTTCGTAACAGGTGAATGAAATCATTCGTACCAAGTATGCATACATTGTGAATCATTGATAGACGCCATTATGAACTAACCGGGAATAGTTTGAGTATCGGCTCTTTGACACTATTATTGTGAATATACCTATTGTAATTTTTTTTAAATTCATATTCATATCCATATTCGGCCAGCGAGCGGTGACTCTCTGTAATTTATAACATTTCATGCAGAGCTAAATGAACTACTTATATCAGAAGCGGCCTTAACCATGACTTGTTAACCATGAAATATTGTAAAAATCTTAAATAGCGTAGAAGTCATACTCATGATATGGCATTTTGATTACTGAAAACAATGGCAACTAAGCCCCTAAATCTGAAGAAAAAAACACGTTCTGCAATTCAATTTTTCGCATCGATGTCTCTTATTTGTTTATTATCAAACTTGACGTTGGTTTCATTAAAAATCCTATTTATTCCCCACTACAATGACGTCCCAGTTTACCTGAATATGGGACCAGTCAAAAGTGAAGCGTTGCAAAATGCATTGTTATTGTCAATAGTGAGTTCTTCATTTCAAGGTTTGGAGGATGGATTATGTTTTGAAGAAATAACAATGTATTGTACAATATTTCACTTTTGACTTGGCCCTATATGCATGTGTACTGGACAGCCTATGATTACATCATTATAAACGAGGAGTTTTTATTCTCAAATCACATACAGCAAGGGACATTTTATGAGATTTCCACCATATTGTTTGCCAACGCGTTTAAACTATTAAACCAGATAAATAGAACGTGTAGGCCCGTATGACACCTTATTCCTAGGTTTCATCGACAAAGTATCAAAATTAAAAGATGCGTTTCGTGAGACACTGAGCGCGTTTATCTAGGCTTGCCACTAGATATGTACATATCGTACCCCACTATCGAACCCCAGTATCGTACCCCACTATACGATCGTGATTTTCGGGATGTCGCGTTTATCGACCCTTCACGATTCAAAATAAAGGCCTTGTGTCTGCCCAGCTGTTTTGACCCGGGAAGCAGACAGTTTCTCGGAGGTCAACTTCACACGTATGCTTGTACACAACACCTGGGTGGTCATATTTGTATGTGAGGTTCAAAACAGCTTTGCGTTTATCGATCTCTCAGAAACGTGATTCTGGCTGTATGTCACATTCAAAACGCACCTTTTTGCGTCTTTAGATATGCCCATATCTAAAGACGTTTGAAAAAGGCTTTGCGTTTATCTACTTCTAAATTTGCCTGAAAGACGTTTGAGAAACCTGATTCTAGCCAAAAATTTGCTAGATAAACGCAACCACTGTCTGGAGGACACTCGAATTTTCGATCTTCCCGCCAGCATACAACTCCCCCAGCTGTATTCCCTAGCGATGAAAGCTACCGTCTGCATGTACTGCGTGTATTGCGCATTATCGATCGCTTCCCTGACTGGCGGACTCGTATAAAAAAGAAAAATAATGAAATGCATTGCTATGCATTTGCGTTGCATGTTTGAAGCCCTACCTCACACACTCAGTTTGAGCGCCGCTTCGCACTTACGACTCATGTGGATTTTACTTGCTAAGCCAAGGAGTATAACCATCATACGTTGATAAGGTAGGTATTCTCCTTCTTTTGCCTTGCTTATTACTTCACAGAAGCAATGTTAAATGCAGAAATCTTTATTTCATTTTGCTTTTGCGGAAGATTTGATGCAATATTCTTCTAGGTATCATGTTTGAGGTGCGTAAGATATGCGTGGGCACTGAGCGGAGATACGAGAAGAGAAAGAGAGAAAGAAAGAGAGGGCAGAGACGGGCGTTAGGGTGATGAACATTCGGTGACCTGTCAAACGTCTTAGCAGGCTTCTGACAATCTTAGCTGAAATAGCATGGGAGAAAATGCCCGCAATTTACACATCTTTCCCTCAAGATGCTGATATAGCAGCTGATTTGAATGTGTGTGTCATGATTGTACAGCACCTCGCTATGTGCTTACAGTAGATCTATACCTATGATATTTCATCACTTTGACCTTTTAGAGTGTTATTATGTTCAAAGGATTATTTCATAAATCTGGATAGAAGAAGTGAGGGAAGGTGTAAAGTACATTCCCTTGTCGTAGAACGTTTTGAGAGTTAATCTTATCAATTTACGAATTGTTTTTCTTTCCCTATCTTTCTTGTTGTTCGGGCTACAAATTTCTCCTTGCAAACTGCTGGCTAATATGTTTTAAATATTCAATGGAATTGCATTTCACGATACAACTCATATATTATTATCAATGTTCATCAGTAGACTCGATTAGCCTAGCAGTGCTTGGGGTTGCATTTTTTTAATGATAGTGTTCCATACATTTTATTTAAGTTTTAAATAAGGAAAAACTTTGACTTAAACCAGGGAGATATAGAGTTATAGCATGTGACTACTACTCTTATTGTGCCTTTATTTCGGCCTAAGAGATTTTTTTAAAACTTACATGGACGTTTTCTTCTTAGCAACGCATGGGTAAAATCGACTTGGGGTTTAACATTCACAAAACAAACTTCGTTGACTCATCAAGTCTTATCCGGATTTGTATTTTACATCAATTGGGGGCAAAGAACAAACCAACATTCTCTAATCGTCAACGTGAACTCTGAAGCAAGAGTCATTTTACGTTCTGAATGCAATTTTGAAGACAAACTGTTTGGCCAAATACTTCTGTGAATGTATCAGATTGATGCAACGCTTGAATGAGACTTCGTATTGTATGTATGCGTGGAGTTCTCAGAGATTTGGGATTCGTCTTTTGAGCACGCCGAGGCAGTGGTTGCCATGGACGCGACCCAATACAATGGCGACATATGTAAACTCTGCTGTTGACCCCCGCCAGCGGTTCGTTTTCCAATGTGTCGAGAGTATTCTAGTCTCACTGTCTGCTGTACAATTTTATTAAATGAATCCATATAAATATCGAAACACTCTGCATACAAGGTGTTGTCACAGAGCGGAATGGGTTTCAGATACACGAATAAACTTACTAAAATTACACCTACTTGTATTTCAAACACTTATTTCCTCAGTGATACTGTTTTTATGCACCTATTAACCTTCATTTGATATTATGTTTTGTGGCATTGATAGTCGTGATTTCGACTTCTCTTTGACTGCGACAATATTGTTTACCAAGTTTATTGTGGTAGTTGCCACCGGTTAGCTTTGTCCCGTCGACCCCCTATAAGTCATTCATGCCATGTGATTACAATGGAGCGTTGCTTGGTGCGGTAGATCAATAAGGGTTGCCAGGGGTAGGAGTGTTGATCGGTCTGTGCTCGATGGTACTGGTGTTATAGACCTTTCATTAAATAAGTATCGTCTGTTTGCCAGGGGGAGGTCTAAACAAGCCATGTATCCAATACAACCCAAGTGGTCTCATACTCCCACTCGGTTCTCAATATCCGTTTTAAGGAGGACACGAATAGATGATGAAACATCCAAGAATGGTATTAAGGTTTTCTAAAGTTTAGCAGGCGTAGATTGTATACCAATAATTCCGAACGTGATTTTGAAGCGCAGAGACGTTCATCCCAACGTAGTATGAACGAAATATTATTACTACTATCACACAATTAAAACTATGTCGCAGAATGAAATAGATCTATCTACCAGCTTTGGAATTCAAAACTTCACAAATTCTCCATTATTAGCATAAGCTCATATCAATTCTCTCACCTGTAGCCTTCACTGAAAAGACGAATATCAAAATTATGTATCACTAAAGTGAAGGCCTATTCTATTTTCAATCGCTTTCAAAATCCATATAATGAAGAATTAAAGTTTTGCTCACTTGCCCCTCAAAAGAGATGGATACCGAAATCAAGGTGCACCTCGATTAAAGCATCTTTAGATAATGTCTACGTTTTGAACTCAAAACAAGTTCATGCTTTTATATATTAATCTTAGATCTGCGCTTCACAACTCTACCTCTCTTATCAATACTTTAAAAACATAGGCCTGTTATCAGAATAAAGGATATGAAAGATGACGTCTCATAGCCCATCACCTGTAATATAGCAGCAGGATAAATATGTTAATAATCTGGCGATGTTTTGTTGTTAATGCATAAAGTGTGAGATGTTTATGCCGTCGTCATTATAGCAACGACACGTATGAAATCGTTACCATAGAAACAAAAGAAATATAAAGTGTTTTGCTTTTTGCTTGCATCAATGAGAATAGAGCGTTGGAAAGGAACACATTCATTCAATCTGCATTGATCAGGGCAGGAGTGAGGTAACTCTTTCAAATGTCATGTTTATTGGAGGATTCTACCTTAGTATACTCTTTAATATGTGATGAACAATGGTGCTTCATTACTTCTTCTATATCAGGGCTAACAGATAAACAATTTGTAATTACAAATACATATTAATGAAAGCACAGGAGTTGGTAACTAACAGGAATACCGACTAAATTAAATCGCAACGAATATGAAGCAATTTTCATGTTGTACTCGTAATGAGAAAAATATGTTATTGAAGCAATATGATTTTTTTTCTATTGATTGGTTTGATTTTTCAGATACTACTGTTCTTTGTTCATATATATATTATGCAAACAGTACGTTTTAAACTCATTTAATGACCGAATTCATTATCATAATAGATCAGGGTTAATTAGGGGCTAGAAACTAGATACTGATTTGTTTAAATTATTCTTTTGACTGGAAACATCGCGAAAACAATTTGATTGATATTCAATCAACCGATCCAACTTAGTCCACACAAAAAAGTGCGCGGGGAATAAATTATGAATAATGGATGAGACAAAGTTCAGTTGTCTGCCAGGTACCAACGGTTTGACCTCGTGAAAGGTCGTGATCGTGCCAAAAACATTGTATGCGATAAGACAAGTTATACTGTACGTCCTGGTATCTCATAGCACTGCGAGCACTCATAATCATAACTCATATGCTATCTCTCTCATGACTGTATCTCCTTCCGCGGACTATCTCTGTTTAGCTAACGTCTTTGCCCTTTGTTGCGATAATAACATATCAAAGCTCACATTCCGGCAATGCCATCCTAGTTGGGCCAGAAAAAAATATGGCTATGCTAATAACCTGCTCCCATCATATATCTCACTTTGACAATATCTTTCATCGGTAGTATTATTAGGGGGTACGTCATGCTTGTAGGAAGCGGAGGGATGAGGAGAGCTGGGACGGCCAGGGGCTGTTGGAATGGGGTTACCAATACAAATATTTTTCTTAACGAATTGAAAATAAAAGATATTTTCATACTACAAATCATTTCATAGCCCTAGCTGTAAACTTCAATAAGGACTAAGTTGATACATGATAGGAAATCGTAAATATTATCCTGCAGGTCAGGGGGCGGATCCAGGATTATGCTAAAGAGGGGGCAAAATATTCCTACATTTTGCTGACAACCCCAAAAGGGAGATCATCAGTTATTTGACAGAAATGGTCATCACCCCCAAAAGGGTTCACGGGCCGGTTGTACCCCATTACTTAATCCACCGGTGATGTAGGTATCGAATTCGAATTCTATACGTAATGCATGCTATGGATTGGTTATGTCTTTAGATTTTAAACAAGTACTTTAGTGAACGTGACAGGCTTAATGAAATATAATCAATATGGACCCAATCCCACCCCACCCACACGCACACACACGTTTCATAGTAGGCGTGCAATGCTTGTCTAGTATTTGATCGTTCATGTATTAAAGTAATGTATCGATGCAAAATAAATACACATCAAATTTACAGTCTATATCAGTTTTATGCATTAGTTCGTGTTACGAATTGCTGAACACCTGGGGAACTTTACTTAGACCAACGTTTAAAGGCCCACTGCAGTTCTTATAGCTACTAGCGCCCTCTATATCACAAACAATACATAATCGGTGACCATTGGTCCCCATGATCCTCTTTTTCTTATGTTAATTGAGAGCTAAGTTGATGGAGATAACCACCTGTCCGATGACCTTGCAGCATGTTCTCATACCTCCTTTTCACTTGGGCAGATGGGCTTTAAAACAGGACATCGATTTGACAATGAGCACTGTTCTTTGTTACTTTACATCTATGCCGATGAGGTCATTATTATAGCATCCTGATGAAAATTCACCTTGTTGCAAGATACACGAGTGTCGTTGCTATGTTGGGTAACACTTGAGATAGTCAACCAGAGCATATGCTATCAACGTATTGTTTGCCTTGTATGTTTTGATCTGGTTAGAAATGCAAAACAGTTTACGACATGACCATTACATTGTGATAATTCATAGTACTTCGTTTCATAAGCTAGAGGGTATCAAACGAGGCCCCATCATTACCCATGCATTAATAGACACCTGCATATAACACGCTTAGTTTAAAATGAATGTTCTCTACCATGTTCTCTGTGCATGTATTCATGAGCGAATCGATTGGTGACCTTTTAAGAAGCAATGTCGGTTTCTCGGGGGGCCTTGCAAGAAAGGCTGGCCACATTGAACAGGCAAGGTAAAATATCTTGCTGCTTTTCAACATAGCTAGTCTAGACTTCAAAATGGCGTCTCTCTCTCTCTCTCTCTCTCTCTTATTGATTTTAAATAACTATCAGATAGCATGTAGTCACGACGCGCCCAGAATGGAAAGACATAATTTCAGTGAAATTGACCTCGTAATCCAAATTTATGAGTAGCAATCATGCATCAGAATAAGGGACAAGGAAGATAATGATCGAGTAGAAATTAGTTTTGTGCTTTTGATTGAAATGACTTGAATAAAGTAAACTTGAATCAATCCCACAATGTTTTATTCACGGTATGCCTGATTCTATCTATAATCCAGGAGTGTATAATAAAGCATAATAGGTTGTATATAATTATGAAGAGCTGTAACTTGTTTATATAAGGTAACTATAGTGGTGTAGCTGTTCCATAGTCTTTTAATCATTTCGTTATGACAAAGCGATTAAAGTGGTTATGATCGTTAAAGTGACAAACAAAAATTAAAACTTTGATGTAATTATTTATGGACAGCTGGGTAAAAGGAAACTTGGGCTAATTCTCAATTCAAACTCACAACACACGAAATATTAGTTCAACGTCATCAACAGTTAGAGAATTTTTTTTTTCATTCATTCATTCAAGATGTGTGTATATCTAACATTCATAATACATAACTGATATCATAACACCTGCTTTTCTACTAAGACAGGTGGATGAAAACTGTTTGAATAAACACCCATCAGTCTTCGCGGTATATATGAATAGGCTTTTTTCGTAATGTACATGTAATCATATTTAATGCACAAATCTTTGTTAAGTGCCTCGTTACAAATTATTTCATTCACCTGTTACGAATAATTGTATTCCATTAGTCATTTATTCCTAGTAGGAATACTCCCTAGGGAGTGGAGATGGTGTACATTTTATAAATGTATTATTATTATCACTGTTATTGGTTTTACTTTCTTTTGTCATCGACAATACCTTGATGATATCTATGACACTATAACATTACTTTTAAGTAATCTTTTCTCAGAAAGAAACGATCTGTTTGCCTTTCTGTTGTTGTTTGGGGAGGTTGTTATTTTGTACTTCAGACTTACTTCAAACCTCCACCCACCCACTCACTGAATAAAGAAGATGGGGAGCAAAAAATGAAAGGTTGAAGACGAAAAAATACAAGGAAGAAAATGAGAAGAGACGTAAAAAATAATGTTCCATTAGAGCAAATGAGCAAGAGCTATGTATATTTCTTAAATTCTCATTAAGTATATGTCTATTTACATTATGTACGACGGCGCCCATGTACTATAGAATAATCTTTCACTGATGGAGTCTTTACAGAAAACCAGCTCTCAATTTAGTTCCGCCTCCATGCTCATAATATTACTCCATGCCCTTTATAAAGCTGCTTGTGCGTACCCCTGTAAGGCTTCCCATAAATAATGCAGCTCCCAAGCGAATTCCCTGTCCAATCTAGTGACAGCATGGCTTTCATAACGCTTGATGATGGGTGAGCCAATTAACTTGTTTGAAGTATTTTCCTATCAATATTGGGAATTTAAATTGCACAGTACATTTGTTGATGGAATAAGTGAGGTATAAAAAAAGCCCAAAAGCATAGATACATGAAAAAACACATTCCATGTAAATACATTTCCAGGCCACTTCTGGTAGTGTATGTTCCGAAACGACATCACTATGGAAGCTACTTAAACGATATCAGAAAGATGATAACACACTTTTGTACAAGTCAGATGTGGTTTATACCATACGTTCCGTAGACCAAGCTAAATAGCTAGGATTCGCTTGTTATATAATGTTGTTTTTTGCACTTTCCAATTATAATTGCCTTTGAAAGGAAATCCACAATCTACTCCTTTATGCCATTTCGTTTGTCCAGTACCTCCTATCCTTTCCTTCCTCTTCTTTCCCTCCTCTTCCACAATCCCTCCCTCCTCCCCGATGTTTACTCTTTCTTTTTCATTTGATCAGAATTGTGTTCATCCGTTAGGTTGATCGTTCATTATTAAACAATTTTCGATATGAGTTTCAATCGATGATGGTTCCTGCTATGATGGCATAGTGACAAGAAAATATATAAGTCTTCTAAACAACTGATTACAGGACCTAATATTATCAAAAGCCATAATTAGCATACATTTTTTTATTGCTCGGTCAGAGCTATCTCCGACAAGCTATACAGATTTCAAAAGCAAATCCTCAAATCCAATTTGATTTTGTTGTTTCCATGTCTCATCACCCTTTATGTCTTTTCCATCCTCCCATCGGCGCCCCTTTCTCCTCATCAAGTATTCATATTGGTGTATTCTGACCCGTGGTCGTCACTCGCCCTCTGTGACTATTATGTGGAAAAGCTTCACACGATTTCCGCAATATCTTCACAATATACTATTCACAGATGTACTTATACTTAGTAGATATGTTTGATATTATTGAGATCATACATGTAGATGTAATTTTGTGAAAATTTAGAGCTGACTGGAATAATTTTTCGCATCTACATTTGCAGAAAGAACACAAACGTTGAATCAATGTGAATACTCTAAATCAATAAAAAAATATATTTTCTCCTCCAACAGATGTTGCTCAGGGCTTTATTTCGTCAAAGACATAGACATAGTTAGGGTTGTGCTAGGCATATTCGTGTTTTAACCAAAGTTAATGTATAGGTCTATGTGAAATGCCTCGATGCGAATAAATTCATTCAACCATTACGAATAATTGTATTTCACTAGTCAGAATGTGAGTTGCTTATATTACGTGTTGTTAGGTAGGGCAATCATGTTTGTCCTTCCTGGCAACAAGTATAATGTATGATAATGAAATCCACATTCTGACTATTGAAGTTCAGTATTCGTAACAGACTTACTAAAAAGTGAATGAAGTATTTCGTAACGAGGCACTTCACAAAGTCGTAAGCATTACATTTGGTTCCATTACGAAAATGACCTAAAGTGGTTTTAGGTTAGGTTTATGATTAGGGTTAAGCTTATGTAGAGTTGAGTCCAGGATTGCAATTGAGAACTCGGTTGAAGTAGAAAATTAATCGTTGATCGTTTGCGCCGGAGCATTTTGTCTTACAATAAGAAAATTATCTATCAAAGCGCTGTTATCATTGATTATTATATAAGCAGATATTCATTTGAGGCTCTAAAAACCTTTGAAAAATTCAATGAAAATACAATATTACTTAAAAAGACTACTCACATTCTTGTGAAGAAAAAAAATGCAAACTGGTATGTTTGAATTGCATGTAGGCCTAAATATAATTACGATAGAGCACTATGATCACGATAATAACATTATATATGCGGTGGTATCGTAGAGAATTGATTGATTACTTCACGGGCATGACATGATGTCCCTGGTTACGGCAGTGTGATGGACAGTGTATGGATGGATGCATATGATCACGACTTTTACATGAAATCATTATCAATAATTGTTTTGGTAGTACTTATCTGCTTATACTACCACGTCGAATTATTTTTATAGCAATATATGATTATTAATTTAAACAAATTATTAATGCAAATGAGAGGTGCATTTATATCGAAAGCATGTAATATTAATAGGTGCGAGTATTGTGGTTATAACACATGTTGGGATCATAGTATCCTGTATTGTATTTTACAATGTGTGTCAGAAAACATATTCATGTATTCTATTAAAATATCTTTGAATTAATTTGAGATATCAGAATATGTCAGGTACTCAGACAATGTGCTTTGATATCAAAATACTTAATACGTAGATATGAATCCTTTCATTCATTTTTTTCTTCCATAAGGTAGAAATAATATTTTTCCCTTTTAAGTTATGACAAAAGATGACAAAAGTCGGACAAATACTATTTGTTCTGTACCAACAGGGTGTGGTAATCAATAAGAGTTGACTCATGGCAACAAGCTTACACAGAGAATGATGTATTAGCCGACACTATCATCTGTCGTCAGGTGATCATTTTAGGTCCTATCCAAGTGAAACGTGCATGTGACATATCGTGTGAAGATTACATCTGGCTACTCCATGTATAGCAGCAGATTGACTTTGCAGACCTTGTCTGAGGTAGATGGTTCTTGTCATTCCGCCACGCATACAGTGTGTTGAGAAGTGGAACATCGTCTTTGAAGAAGACATGTGAATTTTATGGTCACAGTACTTCTCCCCTTTCCTCTCACGCACAATATGTCGATGGTGATGACGTTGAAGGATAGAAAGGGGTATTTCTATCTGCATGTGTGTATGATATCCTGGTGATGAATTATCTGAATCATAATTGTATTGCCTGTTGTTGAATAAAATAAAAGGAAGACATAGCTCCTTATCATATCCATAATTCTTTTTCTTTTTTTAATGAAGACACCCTCATACACACACACACGCACAACACACACGCGCACACACCACCACCACCACCACCAACGCCACCACCACCAACGCCACCACTTCTTAGGACATTACATCGAGGAAGAATACACGCTCCAAATTTTGTAAAAGGTCCTGAAGTTTTGTTCAACAATTGGTGCTTGAGCTATAACTATAAAATTCTCGTATATTATTTTAACAAAACAATACTCGTTTGCCTTTATTCTTACAGTGGATGTACCAAACCCACATTGCAACAGTCGCACTCAATCCCAAGTAATTTCAAGCAGACTCCAGCTCTGAAATTACCATTAATATACAGTATTCCATCCTACAAGACTTCTAATTCTTCGATCCGAGATACAACATGGCGAATCTGAAGCAGCTCAACTTCGATGCCAGTGAAGACTATCCTGAATTTGCTGGACATCACAGTCTTCTAGCCAAACACTGCACAAAGGAAATCTACGCGAAGCTTCGTGACGTTCAGACTCCGTCTGGTTACACAATTGACAGGGCCATTCAAAATGGTGTTGACAACCCAGGTGAGATTGTAATTTAACCATCAAAATATATAATGTTACCGTGTAGATTTCGAGATGTTTTGTATCCATGGAATTAACCGATTCTTAGAAGTATATTTCATGAAAGAAAGGTCTGTCAACGGTCGCACGGTTGTTAAATTATTGACTGCTGAATTATATAGATTTCATAAGGAAGCTGGTTTCCCTAGGCAAAGGAATAATATAATTCTTCCTATTAGTTTTTCCCCGAAAGCCTACATCAAATTAAACAACCTATTTACAATGACAGTTTAGAAGCAGTTTGTAAAAACGAACTCATTTTTGCAAAAAAATACATAGACCTTCAGGCCCGAATTCACAAAGGAGGTTTGTCGACAAACCTTGGTTTTCGTACGTCATAATCGTTTTTACGCGTTTTTTACAAACCTGGTTTGTAAAGAACAAAAGGAGGTTTGGCGAAACAAAAGGAGGTTTGAGCTCAAACCTTGCTTTGTGAATTCGGGCCTCAGCGTTCAACAGGCAGAATATATTGGTTTATTTTCTGCCTCAGACCACGATTTGAAAATAGCTTTTAACAGCACATGAGATTTTTTTAAATCCCTTTTCATCAAAAAAATTGCTTCTCATATTTAGCTGTAAATTATTTTCGTTCAAGTACTTACCTTGTTAGGCGCCTTGAGCATCTCTTGGGGTGGATATGTGCGCATTATAAATGTTATTATTATTATTTAATCATTATGCTATATGATCATCCTTTTTTTTAATGTATAATTTCACTAATTTGAGGCTTTGGAGTAATATATGAAAAGGTGCAGCTTTTGAATTACATCATGTAATCAAATTAATGAATGAAAATGCAAATATATCCTATAACTACATCAGTTCCAACATGTTTTGAAAACAATTTAAAGAAAAGGCACATATTTTGCAGAGCAAAACGCGTATTGAGTTATGACAACGGACTTTTCTATAGTAGTTTAATGCAAATTAACGAGATATGTCAGATATGATGATTCCAAGTGATGATTGTGTTTTTATTAGGTCATGCTTTAATTTCGTGTACGTTTGTGTGTATTTCGTAGATTTCCATGTGGGTATTCTTGCCGGTGACGAGGAATGCTATACTGTATTTGCTGAGCTTTTTGACAAGGTCATCGAGGAATATCACAACGGATTTAAAACAACAGGTAAAAACCGAATTCATAATAATAATTATTATTGTCGTGCATATGTCATGCGGGACATTTCTAGACGTGTCTCATTATATACAATATGGCCGTTTTATGAATCACTCGATATAATGTCACAATTCATTACTATATTTCAATGACGTCAAAACCTACTTCAAAGGTACGGTCGATAAATGTTAATGTAAGAAAAGTGTCTTTTTCAAAAACTTTTTCAAATACAAACGATATTGCTTTTCCATCTCCTTCTTCAATAATGTTATTCAGATCTATGAGACGATAGACGGGCCCTATTTTCAAATCTCTGCCGCCCTTTACACTGAATTCATGGATTGCACTCCACACAACAATCTGAACTAATTTAAGTTTTCTTTCTTCCGTTTTTTACCCAGACAACCACAAGACTGATTTGGACCCGACTAAGCTTGAAGGTGGACAACTTGATGATGACTACGTGGTGAGCTCTCGTATCAGGACTGGACGTAACATCAAGGGTATTGCTCTCTCACCTCATATCGCTAGGTGCGAGAGGCGACAGGTCGAAAAACTGGTTTCAGAAGGTGAACAGAGAAGTCGAATACTTATTAATGTCCATTCATTGGTTTACTAAGTTTCCTGACACGAATATGGAGTTCTTTGAAATTACTCACCTAGTGATGAAGATAACATCGATGATTTTAGGATTGTTTGTACCATGGAACAAAGAAACTTATTGTTCTCACTGAAAATGAGTATTATAGTTGTTTCCTTACTAACGTTCGATCAGTTTTCTTAATACTAATGAGGGAAATATTTTCGTTTAAATTCATTATGAATTAACTATCTATTTTACCTCTTTCATGACCTTTTCAATAGTATCTTTCAGTCTCTTTGGAAGATTAGACATTATATTTTTTCCCAGTAATCATGGTAATAATATACGCCGCATGCTCAAGTGACAGTTACCTAATTCTTAACTTCACCCTGGACCAAGACATTTTAGTCTACCTTAAACGTACACAATAAATCTCGAGGCGGTCGCCATAGCGTGTGTCGGAGCACCTTTGTATTGTACCTTTGTCATCATGCATCGGAAATCTGACCATCATGTTCTCTCCTTCTCCTTGACAGCTCTGTGCTCATTGTCTGATGAGTTTGAAGGTAAATATTACCCTTTACCCAACATGACCCCAGAGGACCAGCAGCAGTTGATTGATGATCATTCCTCTTTGAGAAACCCGTCTCACGTCATTTCCAGAGCGGTGGTATGGCAAGGGACTTCCCCGATGGGCGTGGCATCTGGTAAGTATCCCATTCTAACGAAGGACTGCATTCTATTTCAACCCGACCCTGGATGTATTATCACGTTTAACAAAGGAAAACTTAAATACCTCAGACTAACTTCCTAGTATCGTTAAAGTCGTTTTTTTCAAGCAGGCAAAAAGTGAAAGTTGAGCATCCGAATATGATATTTTCTGGTAACATTTTGACCTTTGATGAATAGAAGGGAAATATACCGACGTATCTTGTAGTTCTACTTCCCGACATTTCGTGAAAAGGATAATGGATATGAAGGATATTTTTACGATCGTTCTACACCTGAATTAATAGATATGGTTATGTCACTATGCTACATGTTATTCCCCCGCCCAAACTGGCGAACGGTAATTCAAAGTCTCATAAACTTGAGAATTTGTTAACGACGATATATATTCAGGAAACTTTGAAGATTTAAAAAAAAATACTTGAACGTATAATCCCATATAACATTAACTTTGTATTCCTTTTACCAGGCACAATTCCAACAAGACATTCTTGGTGTGGATCAATGAAGAGGATCAGACTCGTATCATCTCGATGCAGCAGGGAGGAAATATGAAGGCAGTCTTTGAGAGATTCTGCTCTGGTCTTAGTAAGGTGAGTCAAAAGAGCGTCTAAATCGCCCAATCGTCAGAACACTCTTTAGTTTTAAAAAAAAAGTGAAAAGATGCTATTACTATTTTCATGATGCCATAGAGCGACAGTATATTCGTGTAAGCCATCCATTGATTTGAATGAACTTCATGCAGGGTTATAGGCAAAGATTAAATATGTATAATATGAAATTGCACGGGAATGTAAGCCTTCGACTCAGAGTACTGACATTATCGATAATTTATTGAGGACAGTACCGAGCTGAAATCTACACAATTGGACCTGATTTAACAATATTTGCATTGTTCCTCCTTTTCATATTCAACGTTGTAGAGCTTTTACAGCTCCAATCTTTCATTAATATTTTTAAAAGACTTTTCTTGAACTTTTGTCATAGTAGAACATGGATCTAGTATGCGATGGGTCTCCATGTACGACGAAAGACCAATCATTCTTCAGGTGTTTCATATGCATCCTCTGCATTGTTAAAACTGTCTAGAATGAAAGATCCCCTACTAATGACTGATCTATATCCTGCTAATGACTGATCTATATCCTTCATACTCCAGGTGGAGGAAAAAATCAAGGAGCAAGGAAAGGAGTTCATGTGGAACGAGCATCTTGGATTCATTTTGACCTGCCCTACAAACCTTGGTACTGGAGTCCGATGCAGTGTCCACGTCAGGATTCCAACCTAGCCAAGGACGAGCGATGCAAGGCTATCATGGGAGCTCTACGTCTACAGATGCGTGGCACAAGTACGTAGTCTCCACAAATGTTATGTACGGTAGTACTGTATAGATAATCATGTTCTACTGGGTCTCAATGTGTACCAAGCCATATTTTCTGAGTTGGTCGTCTTCTTTGCCATTTTGGGGGGATCACATCGTACGAGCATTGACAGTAATCTATATTTTATAATAATAATAATAATAGTGTAAGCTCATAGAGCGCACACATCGTCCAGGGACGCTTATGGGGTGAATAGGTCAGGGTACGTGGAAGTATCAGAGATATGTCGGAAATTGATTAACAAAATCATCATCAATGCGATTAAATAGCAACTTAACTGAAAGTAATTGTATTTAAAAAATGAGAAATTTGCTTAATGTTAACCGCACATGCTCCCACGTAGCGTCCGCGGTCACCCGTAATTATAACGTCTTAAATTACACTAGTGCCAAAGTGCCAAAAATCGGTACGATCTCAAATCCTTTCTCTCTTTTCGGCAAGTTTGATACTAATGCTCACTATTTGTTTCGTAAAAACGCCAAATTTGCTAAGGAACTGATCTGTCGGCACACCTTTTCATTCTAGTCAAGTGACTACTCGACCATAACTGCTTAATTGCAATCGGACAGTTCCAAATTTTAATTGTCACCACCAATCTGAATTGTTCTTTGCTATGAGCCCCGAGCCCCCCCCCCCCCCCCCCCCCCCCCCCATTTTAAGAAACTTTTCCAGTTTCTCCTTTCGACTTTGGTGAGAAGGTAGAGTTAATGTTGTATCGTTAAATTCATCTTTCTTAAATCCCACCAGGTGGTGAGTTTACTGAAGGTGTAGGAGGCGTCTACGACATCTCTAACTTGGACAGATTGGGAACCTCCGAGGTCCAACAAGTACAGTGTGTGATTAATGGTGTCACTAACATCATCGACATGGAGAAGAAGCTGGAGAAAGGAGAGCCCATCGATGATCTTCTACCAGGGTAAGGAACTGCTCTAGGATAGGACTTGTAGCCATAGGCGTAGCTCGTGAGGGTGGGGGCATGGAAAGCCAAATAGACAAATAAGGGGTGAAACAAAGATGGTTAGGCAACGAGAGAAGCAGATGTTACCCCTCTCACCACCACCACCACCACCACACCCTTCACTCGGTGACTTCGCTCTCTCGCATTTCACCCACTTTGTTAGGCCGATGCCTCCATAACATCCATACCCCCCCCCCTCAATTTGTTACTATACCTAAGTGATATTCACAGAAGTTTTGATGTAATATTGAAGAATCAATGAAAAGAAGAAGGCGTACATTTTCTTCTGCATGTGTCATGGGGCGACTTCCATCAGAAATGTGGATTATTATGCGCAAATCCTGTCATATCGAGTCGTTCATTATAATTTCTTAAGCAGTTTTTTTGTATTAGACTTGAAATTATATGTAGTGCATGTATGCTGTTGGTCATGACTATTTGGCTCTCATTCTATTCAATCAAATCTTCAATTTGTTCCATTTTATTTGAATTTCAGAAACACTGCTGAGGTCCAGGCTGAACAAGAGGAGTCCGAGAAGAAAGCAGCAGAAGAGAAAGCAGCAGCCAAGGCTGCATCCAGTGAGGGCGCTGCTTCAGGCAGTGATAAACCCAAGAAGAAGTCATCGACGTGTAATCTGCTGTAATTTATTAAATACAAGACAAAAGGCCGGTTGACATTGGCTTGATTTATTAAAAAGATGAAGTAAGTTTATCGATGATTATTTGAACGAAATTGTCAAGCTTAAAACGATCCATAAAAGAAAAATTGTAATGTTTAGTTATAATGCATATGATTTTTTTTTTTATAATGAAGATTAATTTTGATTAAACATGTTGTTTGCATTCTAAAATGAACAAACATGCATGTATCTATAAATTATGATGAAATTATAATAAGGTATTGTGATAAGCTATGAATAAAAGATAAACATATTCGAATTTTTTCGTTGAGATGTAATAATTGAGATGTTTTTTTTTTATCATATTTCAAATTAATTTTTTGTTTTCTCTCTTTGCGTGATGCTGTGATATTTAAAACAGATTTCATTCGAATCACCGAATCACCAAAGTGAATTCCAGTAAAAGCATTTTATATAAACAAGTAATGAAGTTTAACTTATTAGTGCTCGGAGAACACCTAATAGATTTGACCGGCAGATGACCACTAATGTTTCTTTATTGATTGAGTAATACATTGATAAATTAATTTACGAATACGGTATTCTCACCATTTCATGAGAGACACCTCGCTCGTTGCATAAACTCGACGGAAATCATTATCTGGATATTGTACAGCTTATATTTACATTATAATCATTTATGTCATTGTGGAATGCATCATGTTAATGAGCCGAAGTGACATTATGAAATATTATTATAAGTCCATGAATATACTAATATCGCTATTTTCATGGTCTATATATTCTTCGGTGTAAAAATGTCATGATAACAAAAATGTACATTGATTTGCATGATTTATGGATCTGTACAATATAAGCATTTGCTTAAAGTTCGTAATAATTTATGTAACTGTGTGTGTATTTCATTTTAAAGTATTGTATGGGTATTTCCGTCCAACGTTGTCACAGTGTATTATACTGTTATGTTTTTTGTAAATATGATATTGTATGCTTAGATTATTTAGTTCTGGTTTGATCTTCCACTTAGGCTAAGAAAACGGGACGCTCAGCCGACTCTGTTGTATAAATTTATTCTTCCCTAATAAACACTTCATCTATATAAAGGGCACAACTTAAGTATGTCAGTTACAGACTTGATTTACATTAAATTCATTGCAGTCGTCATGGTCATAGCAGTGTTCTTTTCCCCCATCGGATTATAAAATAATCAACTCTAATCAAAACAAGAACAGGTGTTACATTCAAACAATCCAAGATAAGACTATAATATATTATATATTCATATATCTTTGCTTACAGATATCACCCGGTGATTACTGACTAATTGCCTGTGTAATTTAACACCCCTATAATCTGATGATTGCACTAGAAATGCCTGAAGACTAGCCCGGTGGCATCACAATGTCAAAGGCAAAATTAGTCTCGGTTCGGCATCTCCCACTATGAACATGACGGACAATGAAAGCGGACAAATATACAGTTCCTCAGGTAGACAAAGGAACAACCCTTCACAGCTTTTATGTAAAAATGTGTGGAACAGGTGTCACATGCATATTCACCTGTTCTACACAATTTTACTAATAGCAGTGAAGGGATGTTCCTTTGTCTACCTGAGGAACTGTATATTTTGTCCGCTTTCTTTGTCAGTCATGTTCATAGTGTCCATTGGTATACTTCACCAAGACAAGTCTAATCACACAAAATACATGATGGAAGATTCTCCATTTGAATTTTGAAAGTCTTTTTTTTTTCTCCTGAGACATGAAAGGTATTTCAAACCTTGTCGCTCTGTGAATATTTCAGGATCATTGTCTGTGGCATTTGAAAATAATAAACGTCAGCACTCAACTACTTAGCGCGATTATTTGCCATTTTGTATGTATTCTTTTTTGTTTTGTTTTTGTAAAGACGTTGAAATCATATCTCTTTTTCTCTGGCTCTCCCGTTTCCTGACTCTTGGGTGTCCCCATCTCCCCCCCCCCCTCTCTCTCCCTCCCTCCTCCCCCTCTCTCTCTCTCTCTCTCTCTCTCTGTCTCTCTTTCTCTCTGTCTCTCTCTCTGTCTGTCTCTCTCTCTGTCTGTCTCTCTCTTTCTCTCTCTATTCTAGTTTACTTCTCTCTTTTCCGCTCACTCTCACCATCTGTAGCATACATAATATTCATAATCAGAAAACTAAAGCATGGTTCAAACAGAAGGGTTGTTTATCAAGCCCTTCTACAGCAAGGTATAATTCATGGTGCATGCCTTTATTCTAAACAGGCATGCATCGATTTAATCTGTCATTTTGTCTTTTTTGAGCTAGGAGGGCATTAGCTCATATCATTTGACACCGAGATAATGCCATTCTGGCTCCAAATTGACGATTTAAAAGAAAACTTTAGTCACTAAACATGGCAGGGTATAATATATGAATATAAGTTACAATGTATACATAATAATAACAAAAATACTCCTTTTCCGAGTAAATTGTGGCCGTATTCATTATACTCCATATGAAAAATAAAACGGATGAATTTTCATATTTATTCACGTACATTTGCAGGTTTGGTGTATTGACCTTGATAAAAGTGTGTGGGAGGGGCATCCGAGCCAATGGTGATCCGGCGATATAATGCCCTTTTCTGAGCCCTATATAGCTCGGTGTAAGTGTTGGGCCACGAAAATATATCTCTTTACACCTTCTGAATCATGATTTTAATTTTTGGTACTATTTGTGTTATATAAGTGTTATTGTTATCAAGCAATAGTACGGTAAAAAATACAAGCTATTGATTTGTAAGTTTTAGATTTCATGGACAATAGTGTTTAAATTTGCTCTGTCTAGGCTTTGAACTGGCTCAATTTCTCCTTCCATTCCTTTAAAACGGTTGAATTCAAAATTCCTAAACATTATACTATAATATTCCGCTTTTATATAGCGCTTAAATGTCTCTAAGCACTTTACAGATATTCTGTAATATCTATAATCTATTATGACGAGTTGTTTAGAACAATTTAATTGACAAGGAACCTTCAAATGATTTCTTTAGAGTGACTGAATACTTTTCATTGTCAGGGGTGTCCCAAAATGAATACATTATCGAATTTTTGTTCGAGTAGTTGTACTTTGAACAAGGGGGCTCTCACTGTTTGCGTTTGCTCACGCCGAGTTTAAATGCGGAAGCTTACTTGTGGGAATTCCAACTAATAATAGAACCAATGCGCATGCGGGCGATCTTTAGACGTAAAAGTGAATATGATTTAATACAGTGTCATTAGAATGGGTCGTTATGCGTTTTGACAACGCGTGCAATATGATGCGTAAAACTGGCATTTAACGAAGTGCAGCCTTTTCGGGATGTGACGAGTTTAAACTCCAGTCGATGACCCGCGATAATTTAAATTTGAGATTGACATCATTGATTTATTTGAAGCGGATATACCGGTAGATCTGCACTCATTCAGCAAACGGAGTAGGTCTACATATGCACCACCAATGTGAGTTATAGGTACTAAGTTATGTGTGTGGATTATCTGGAAAAAATGCACAATATGGGGGAAATTATATGTTCAATAATAAACCATGGGGCAAATCAACTGAACAAATCCGTGCAATACTATTACTAGACCTGTTAACTTGTTATGACAATGTATTTCAGTTGATGCATGTTTCTCTCCCTAACCCGTGGTTACCTGCCGTTCATTCATTCACCAGCTATGAATAATGGCATCTAAGTGGATGGAATCTACTTTGCATACAAATTCTTAAATGTAGGAAAAACACTGGAAAGCTTTTTAGTTTTCAATAGAAAATGTCGTGAAAAAGGGTATGCCTTTTAGTTGTACTCAGCACCAGAGGGCTATCAATAGGGACTATTACATTTGCACGCCGACATAGAGGACTGCTTCGTGGGACATCCTTTTAAGGCAATATGATGTCCTTTTAATGCATCTAAAAGATACCGCTTGCAAGCGCTGGTATCAAAGGCGGAAGCATATACTGGTGGGAATTCCCACCTCACAAAATAACATAAATACACATTCTGGCGCCAAATCAAGACGCCATTTTAAGACGAACAAGTAAACATGATTTAAACCAGTATCATTAGAATAGTTTGTTAATCCTTTTCGACAACATGTGGGATATGATGTATAAGACTGGCATTTAACAAAGTGTAACCTTTCCGGGATGTGATGAGTTTTATCTTCAGTCGATGACCCGTGATAATTTCTATTTTGGATTCACATCATTGATTTATATATCGGTAGATCTATTTTTATATTAATCAGGCATTCAGCAAACGGAGTAGATCTACGTGCACCACCAATCTTAGTTATACGTACTAACTTATGTATGAAATATACGGCAAAAATGCATTAAATAGGGTAATTATAATTATGTTCAATAATAAACCATTGGGCAACTCAACTGAAAAAAAGCTGTGCAATACTAAACTTGCTTACTAGTTATGTCAATGTTTTTCTGTTTATGTATGTTTCCCTAACCCCTGGTTAGCTGGTAACCGGCCATTCCATTCACCAGCTAAGTATGATGGGCCTTGATGGCATCTATGTGGATGGAATCTACTTTGCATAAAGAGTCTTAGATGTAGGGAAAACCAGGCGCGGATCCAGGATTTCTTAGGGGAGGGGGCCCAACTTTTTTTTTTTTTTGCTCCCGAAAATTTTCAAATCGCGCCGGCCGAAAAGTCGCTCAGTGGGGGGGGGGGGGGGTGGTACAGAGCACAATTTTTTTATTTTTTTTTATTTTTTATTTTTTATTTTTTGCTTCCGAAAATTTGAAAAACGCGCCGGCCAAAAATTCGCTCAGTGGGGGGGGGGGGGGGGGGGGGGGGGGGGGGGGGGGGGGGGGGGGGGGGGGGGGGGGGGGGGGGGGTAGGGGGGGGGGGGGGTAGTGAGCATATTTTTTTTTTTTTGATCCTCAAAAATTTTTCAATTTGCACCCCCCCCTTGAGCGCCAGGGGGGGGGGGCCCAACCCCAAAAAAAGGTAAAAAATCACGTGATTTTACATGATTTTTTTCTCAAGGGGGGGGGGCCCGGGCCCCCCGGGCCCCCCCCCCCCCCTGGATCCGCCACTGGGGAAAACACTGGAAAGCTTTTTAGTTGTCAATAGAAACTGTCGTAAAAAAGGGTATGCCTAAAAATTAGAATTAGTCAACAGGGCCCATATTCATTTTATTCATAAAAGCACAGGCTAGTTGCCAAAAGGTCCCTAAGACTAGGAGCAACTTAAAATGCCTAGTTACCAACTATGGAGTTGAAAACTAACCCAGCTAGTTAGGAACTAGCCATCGTGTGCATTCTGGTGGATAAAATGTGGGTCCAAATAATGAAAATTAAGTAAATGAGTCGTAAGAAAGACCGTCATAAGTCTTTGTGCAGCAGTCTTTAGTGTGGAGTTACCGGCTAGGAGGGATTAGTTGTCAAATAGAAAATAGAAATCTGAGCTCTTGGGTAAAACAGATTTTCGTAGAAAGGGAGGAATGTGGAGAAAATACTCTGTCAGGCTTATTTACATATCTCTTTGTCCAAAAGTTTCATTTTGGCAAGTAAAACTTTTGGACAAAGAGATATGCAAATAAGCCTGACAGAGTATTGTCTCCACATTTTATGAACAACCACTGAATGATTCCTTACCTTTCAATGAACGTTTGCAAAAAACAAGAATTTAGGAATCAGATATAGTCTCTTTTCCTACGTCATAATTTTTTCTTCGTTTTTCTTATTCATTTCACCTGTCCTTTTCTATTTTCCCTCAGTTAGTCTCTCTCTTCTCTCTCTAGTTGTTTTTCCCCTTTTTTTTCTTTCTTTTCTAGCTCTTTTTGAAACTTGTTTGTATTTTGTTTTCTTTCTTCATTTGAAGAGCTTCTTAGTGTTGGTAGGGTATCGTTCCTAAAGTGTTTATACACCATGACACCAGAAGTTGATATCATATATGTTTTTCTCGCGCTCTCCCCTCTCCTGACTCTTGAATGTCTTTCCCCTTCCCCTTCTCCCTGCATGCCTCCTTCCTTCTCCCCCCCCCCCTCTCTCTCTCTCTCTCCATTTCATTCTGCTACTCTTTCTACCTCTCTTTCTTCAATTGATATCTTACTTCTTCTTTCTCTCACATTCTAATTTACTTTTTTCTTTTCCTCTCACTCTCATCCTCTGTAGCATGTAATAATTGTGTTCATAATCAAATAACTAAAGCATGGTGCAAGCAGAAAAGTTGCTTATCAAGCCCTTTTCCAGCAAGGGTTATTAATTCATGGTGTATGCCTTCATTCCAAACTGGCATGCATCGATCTAAAGGGCCACTCTAACCAAAACGGGCTAAAGAAATGGAAAAAAGACATGTAGAATAATTTTTGACTGAGATTCCGAACATGACAATGATTTTTCTTAAAAATCATCAATAATTCTGGAATCTAGCTTTGAAAATGACGATTCAGAATGCGCAGGGAAAAAAAGTCCAGTTTCGGTGATGACGCGTTTGACGTCACTGCAGGAGACTCTCCGATGAAAAGGAGGGTGATTTAGGCAATAAAATGTCTTTAAAAGGGCAAACTATGATATTACTTAGAGAGAAAAAAGACATTTATCCGAAAAATAATATGTACTTGATAATCCCAGTACGTTTCTGGCAATTTCGTCATTCCTAATTATGAAAGTATCAAATCATCAAATCGGACATGCCCGCAATGACGTCAAATGCAATATAGAGTGCGATGTCTGTTTAATCATTACCTGATCTCAAAATCGAACTCTGGATAGTCCCATCACTGAATTCGTACAAAACATTATTTATCAATTCACCGTCTCGAATCCCAGACGATCCACCAATCGATTCGTATTAAGTAGATGACTACAAAAATTATACTGGGTGGCTGGTTCCCGTAATCATTATAGTGGTTCTCGGTGTTGGTGGCTCCTTTACAACAATTTTTACATGTAGTTTATCGGATTTCGACCAAACTAGATCACAGTCATACTTGGGTGAATGGCTACAAAATTATATTCAGTAGGTGGTTCCCGTTAATTTTTATTGGTTTATGGTGTTTTGGGCTCCTTTGTTTCTTAGTGTCACATAGTTTACCGGATTTCAACCAAACTTAGTCAGATTTATTCCTTGGTAAATGGCTACAAAAGTTATACTTGGTGGGTACTGGGAGATTCCCATTGTTCGCATGTAATATAATATAGAGGAATCGAAATGTTTTCATGAAAATAAAGTTTTGTCATGTAAACCTAACCCGTGCCCGTGGCAAAGGGCACAATTAAGTCCATTTTGTTGTGACCCAAAAAGTGAAGTTTTGTTTGGACTGCAATAGTGCTGCAAATAAAAATTTCCTGGGATGCAAACTGAATTTCCGCAAAAATACAGCTTGTTTTTGCAATACATCAAATACACAATTTCTCTCCAAACACCCAACACCAATATTTTCTAGGAAGGAGCTTTCCAAAGAATTATTTGGGGGGAAATAACTTGGCAAAATTGTCATCTCTAGGCCTATAAACAATAACAAACAATAGATTTCAAGAGTACCAACTATAATACTAGTAACAAATTGCTGTATACATATATTTTCCTGCTATATTTATCAATCAGGTCAATAATTATATTTATGTTCTTTACAGACTATAGTCACAGTTTGTAAGAAGAATGGCAACCCCCCGAATGTTCAAAGTTTGGCACGCAGATAAGAAACTTGTATTGGCAACATCACTGGATGAGCTGATAGACAAAGGTAAGAGAAGTACCTTGCTACACTTGTGAGCACATCAACAACACACACAAATATTATAAAGTAGATTTGTTACATCTTTTGGCTGTTTGCTTTCATTGTTTAACTTGTATACCTAGGTGAACAGATTTTGTATTTGGTGGCACGTTATAATTCCAAATGCAACGCACTTCAGATGTTTTTTTATATCCCGTTCACTGACAAAGTTGTGTAGTTTTCCTTGCAAAAACAAATAGTATAAAACAATGTACCAGCAATATTTTTCCAGAAATATTTTTTAACTCTAAAGGGCCACTCTAACCAAAACGGGCTAAAAAATGAAAAAAGACGTGTAGAAACATTTTTGATGGAGATTCCGAACATGATAATGATTTTTCTTAGAAATTATCAATAATTCTGGAATCTAGCTTTAAAAATGACGACTCAGAAAGCTCAGAAAAAAGCCCAGTTTCGGAGCTGTATTGCGCAAATGTTTATGACGTCATTGCAGGAGCCTCTCCGGTGAAAAGGAGGGTGATTTAGGCCGCATAAATGTCTTTTAAAAGGCAAACTATGATATTAATTGGGGAAAAAATTATCCGAAAAATAATATGCACTTGATAATCCCAGTACGTTTCATTTATGAATAACAATGAGATTGTAAGACAAATCTCAAATGCCCGCAAGGCTACGTGACCGTATAACCTTTTTTGAGGGGCGTAGCCCAGCAAGCGTCAGAACTGTGAAAAATGGATAGTAATTATCTTTTTTTTGGTCAATACAAAGGGTTTCTAAAAAATCAGAGGCTGGAATATTAATAAGTAGAGGTGTATTCATGTTTAAAAAGGATATTTTAGTTGGGTTAGAGTGGCCCTTTAAAATTAATGACCTAATAAATTTCATTTTCAGGTCTCACAAAGCTGCAAAAGACAAAAGAGAATTTCAAGTGCCTGAGATTGTCTGACGGCACAATTGTAGACAATGATGAATTGTTTGCCTTCCTGCAAGAATCCGAACCAATCCACTTTGTTTTCTCTGATAAAGAAGTGCCATCAACATCTGCATGTAGGCCTACTGGTGCATCTGACCAGGGAGGTGAGAGCATGTTATTTCATATATTCTGTTTTTATTAAAAATGAACAGCAGCTCAATCGATGTTATATTGTGAACTTGTACATTACACAATAATAAATATTTTTACATTTCCTTTGAAAACAAAGGCAGTAGGCTATATTTTAAAGGGATTGTGTATCTTTGCCTCAGATTCTAAACAATATCCTGGATTTGGCGCATGCTGCAATCCTGATTATAAACCTTCAGATCAGTCAGGAATCCCATGACTTTTACAAGCCGATCGCCTGTCTGATCAAGACCTTGTTTATGATTGGAATTCGAAATTTCAAAAAACCAAACTACAGTCTATCGGGGGAAAATGAGTATGGTAACAGGTCACTCAAATATTTGTACTTTTTGAGGCACTTCATGATCATTTAATTTTTTTTTAGGGCTTCAATATTACCCCATATCAGACACACTGATATTAACACGTAGGGCCATGTATCTCAGATTTGTAAAACTGGAAACATTGTTAAACAATGCCTTTAATTCTTCTCCTTTTAAGTTTTAGTCTAACAACTACTCTCCTTCTTTCACCAGATTGTTAACAATTTACATTAGTAAATGCATATTTTTCTCTCCCTGCATTATGTTGGATCGCTCGTAGTTCCATTACAGCAGCACGGCATGGCCCAAACACGGGCCCAAACAACAAAGACACACCAACTATTTGTAAATGCTCCCTTGGGAGACAAATCAGTGCGAAAAATGGCTGGAGTTGGATCTATTATTGGTGCAAAACTTGAAGCTAAAGGCTTTTATAAGGTAAGAAATCTGAAACAATCACCACAATGTGGTAGCATACCTTTGTTTTTAAGAAAAAAAATGCATTGTTATATTTTAAAATGCAAACAGGGGAACAGCTGGGCTGACGTGTGCATGTACCAGTAGAATGTCTTAAGTTTGCCCCATATGATAGCATTGTTATGAAACTGAAGAAAGTATGTGCAATAGCAAACTATTTTAATCAAGTAGAGTTGCATTGTAAAATACATCCCTAGATTTTATCTCCAGAGAGAAATGTGTGATTAGTTGTTTGATTGGTATTCTTGTTTGCATGCATTAAACATTGAGCGTCATTTTCACCATAGTACGAAATGTCTACAATATTATTGTTGTACACACTATTTCATAAACATGCATGGAATACATAAATCTATTGTAAAATGTAAGGAAAATCAGTAAATCAGTTCTTACCAATAAATATCCAGATAAAGTAAATGTCACTCTCATACATGTGGATGTGATTTCTTTTGCATTGTTTAGCTGAGCACCCCTCTCTAAACTTTTCCAATGTATCATACATTGCTAATATCCCTGGTTGCTTTGGAAAAGAATACAAAATGAAGAAAACAAAACACACACAACAAAACAACAACAGCACACACAAAAACCAGTGTCATGCATACCAGTGATTTAAAAAGTGTATCATATGGAACAATTTCTGCAAAAGTTGACTTACAATATGTATTTTAGTTTTATATATGTTTTTATTTCTCTATATTCTAAATTTGTTTGTAAATTGAACATTTTCAGCCTGCGAGCTGCTTGTTTTTGCAATAAACCAAACCAATTAAATTCAATACAAATATGACAAGTGATGTTTTTTCTCCCCTTTCCTCTTTCTTTCTCCCCGATCCCCCTCTCTCCATCTCTCTCTCTCTCTCTCTCTCTCTCTCTCTCTTTCTCCCTCTCAATCTCTCTCTCTCTTTCTTTCTCTCTCTCTCTCTCTTTCTCTCTCTCGTTCTCTTTCTCATTATCTCCTTCTTTCTATTCACAGGCCTACGTTGTAGTGGGACGGTACTTAGTGCTGAATAAAAATAAAGAATACTTCATGAAATGGATGAAGGATGAAGTAGATGCAAACGAAAAACAAAGTTCACAGTGCTATCAATGTGTAAAGGTTGGTGTGACAACTTCATGTAATCGTGTTGAACAGACATAGAAATGTAAATAAATATTGCATGGGGGGGGGGGAGGATTGAACAGTTGTGAATTTTATCTAACGGATATTAACACATTGTTGATAAATTTGAATAAATTAAAGTCATGTTTTATATTAGGGGGAAATACAATTTGATAAACAGATGAATATATATATATATATATAGCACCTGGTAATTCCTGTAATATCCAGGCCTGCTATGTACAGTGTTTTATACACTCATTGTTTCTCTGTTTTGGGCATGCACAGTATATCGAAGTATGCATGCTCTGTATTGGGTACATTCTATCCGTTCGGATCCTGATTCACTTACAATTTTTTACCACTTTAATCATTTTTTGTCATATAATGTTTTTAAACATTTACAACACTAACTACGGTATAAATCATTTTATCAGTGCAATGTGCTGTAAATGACTAGTACAAAGTCACAAATCTTAAATATTAACTTGAAGCCATCAAATCCGAGTGATGGGTCAAATTCATTGTGACAATAACTATCTTTCATGTACCAGGCTCGGGAGCAAGCACCACCGCAAGACAAGTCCTGCTATGTAATGGTATTAGTCTCCACCATGCACCACTACCACCACCCCTCCCCCCTCAGCAATAATTATATAATATTGGATGGCTTTGAGTGTGATACAAGAATATATTGCTCAAGCTATGACAATATTGACGAGTCGGAGACGATTCCAATATTGTCATAGCGAGAGCAAAAAAAAATGTTATCACACGAAAACAAAGCCATACAATATTATTATTATTATCTATATCAGGCTGACTAGCGAAATAACAAAATTTGACTTACTTTGGCCAAAAAAAATCTCCATTATTCACAGGTGTTATCAATAAATATTTGATAAACATTCAACAACGATTGATCATTACATAGTATAATTGAAGGTATATTACATACAACTCATATACAAAAAAATCAACATCATTATAGTTTAGTTTATTTTAGGATATCACTTGAAATTAACATATTGAATATACTTGAAAAATTAACACCTTTAGCATCTAACACACATGAATTGGAACATAAGTAAAAGACAGACAAAAAATCATAAACTTGATCAGAATAACATGATTCACTAATTTGTCAAAACCTCTATTTGTATGATTTATCCCTAAATGTACTTCTTTCCATGTCAGTTTTTTTAGTTTTTGAATATTTAAAGCGTTCCCATTTTCATCCCACGCACATTTTATTTGTTTACATTCAAAGAAAACATGTCGGTAAGTTTCTTCATCTTTATTACAAAATGAACAGTTTTTACTTTTTGTACTTTTCGAATAATATTGTATAATAGTTCAAATTAAAACTCTCGGAGTCGGCTATTTAGGGTAGATTGCCTTGGTCTGAGATGGATCTGCTCTATTTCTTGAACCGACATATTGTGATCTGAAGACAGATTTTGAAATGAAACGGATACATTAGAAATATGTTTATACTTGATCTGTAAATCATTTTTGATGTAACATCCGACAAATTATATATCTTTTTGAAAAAGCAGAATTCCAGAACTAATTCAATATCATTTGTCTCTGCGTGAATGCAATACTTCTTATCCAACTACAAGCAATAATCGAGGTGGCAGGAATAGCACTATTTTTTGAGGGGCGTAGCCCCGAAGAAAATAGTGTTTTTTCTGTCGCCGAGGAATCCATAATTTCACTAGTGGCTTGAAATAGTGCATGATATATTTGTTTTAGATTTTTCAAACCAACCTTCATGAAAATAATAATACTACTAATAAAAATAATGTTTACTGTCACTGCAGTAGTGTGTAGTGCAGTGAGAGCAGCAGCACTATACCATGGATGACGTCACAGTAACATCATAGCAATGTTATGTTTGGTCACATAATGCTATGTTGACCAATCACTAAACAGGATTTCATTGATCAAAAATATCATATAATATATTTGTTGTATTGTTAACAAATCCTCTGTTTTTAAACCAGAGTTTTTAAAATATTTCTATTGCTTCAAAATAACCATCACTATCCACAATATGGTGAATTTGACATATATTGTTAAAAAACAAGTTCTCATCAAAGAAAGTTGTCCCATTATACATAAATATTTGTTTTTGTTTTCGTGTGATATTCAATATGATATCGATAATTGAAGTTCCCGAATGACTGAGCAATACGAACACAAAATAGTGGTCAGTAATCCGGGTACTGCGCTGAATACACTGATATATTGTCCCCTAAGAAAAAAACGTACCACACCCTGTGGTATACCAGACTCCCCCTCCCAAAATACTTGTTTGATAACTGAATCCCTATTGGTCTATAGCTGATAGGACCATCATGGAGAATGTCCTCCAACCAAGACTACATGTCCCCCCCCCCCCCCCAATAAAAGCCCCCTTGGTTGATTAGCAAGAAATAAGACCCTTCCCGCCAGGACAGATTCTTAGTGCTAGATGTAGACCAGACCGGAGAGTGGACATGGAGTATAATGAGTGTAGAGAGGGGAAGGATTTCAGACCATCACCAAATAACGTCTGTAACACATATGTATATATCATCTTTTGTTATATATCATATTTGTTTTCCCGTTAATGTTGTTTTTGTTAATTTCTCGATATTTGTCATGGTTGGTGCTCCAACCACAAGTTTGTATTCAAACTTGTTTAGGGGGCTAACCCCATGTTTTTTATATATCCATGAATTATTGTATATGTATTTTTATGGTTGAAATAAATTGAATTGAATGGAATTGACGTATCTTGGCTGTTTTACATCTATATACTGTGTGTGTGCTTGATGTTTGGAGTTAATACATTATACTCTCGTGTGTTATTCTTAAACTGAAAGTCTCACCACCTCTTTATTTATGTACCTTTCCATATAACATTAACTACGTATACACCGATCCCAACACAACATGGTGTAAAAACCCGGGCTACAACAACAACAACAACGTCAGCAACAGCAACAGCAGATATATGACCCACAATCACAGGATTTTTAAGAAGGGAAGAAGTCAATAGCGCTCGCTGCTCTTCCTCCCCGA